TGAAGAATACTTTATTATCCGCCACATCGAAACTTTACATTTTAATAATAAATAATAAATAAATAATAGGTAATAAAAAAGCATATAAGAAATTTGATAATATAATCAAATGCATCATTTCAAAACTTTTCATTCAATTAAATTTATGCGATTTTTGTTTTTAAACAAAAATCGCATAAATTTAATTTTCATTCAATTAAATTTATGCGATTTTTGTTTTTAAACAAAAATCGCATAAATTTAATTGAATGAAAAGTTTTGAAATGATGCATTTGATTATATTATCAAAATTTGAAAAACAATTCATATAGAAAAATCTACTATTAAAACTTTACTTTATTATTATAATATACTTTCTTTAAACAATTCCCGATTTTTGATTCAGGTAACTCGTTTGAACGCTCTTTTTTCTCGCGCTGTCACGCGTTATTGAATTTTGAAGCGCAACGTGTCGCGACTGCAGCATTTAAATATTTTTCTCTCGAGAGAGATCAAGAAGATAGGGAGGCAGTCGGCTTCGTGCTCGGCAATAAGCTACGGCGACACTCGAAAGTTAGTAGATATATGTGTGTAACTCGAACCTGCTGACGTGTTCTAGTCATTGTCCGAACTTTAAACAGCGTGACAAGAGGCAAAGAGCCGAAAAGAAAAAGAAAAGAATGTATGCTGATCTCTATCCTTTTCTCCTCCTCTCTTCTTTTCCTTTTACTCTCTCTCTTTCTCTCTATATAATAAACAATAATAAAACACACACATATATATATAAGTATTAACAAATATGTAGCATTTAAAATTGAATTGAGATAAATCTATTTATATTATATGTATCATATAATATAAATATATAGTAAATATTCCTGGAATCTATCAGAAAGAAAGAGAGAGAGAGAGGGAGGGAGAGAGAGATCCAAATATATTGAAACATCTAGATTGCTTCATATTTTTAGTATGCCATTATTTATTATCCTTTATTATATAAAATGAAAGAAGAGAGAGAAAAAACGCGTTCCACAATTATCATATTTTATACTCGAGAATTGCAAATATATAACAGATACATCACAGATTATAGACTTGCAGCTCCAGTCTCCTTTTTTGCCTCTACTTGTTAATTTTATGCCAGTAAAGATAAGCGAGACCGAGAACAGGAGGCGAGCGATTACGTAAAGTGTGGCGGCACCATTTAGCTCGACTAATTACGCGAGAACTATGGCAAAAGGGAGAGCAACGCGCATCGCATGTGACGTCTCTTTGACACGCGACGCCAACCTATTAGTAACGCACACGATCGGCATATGTCGTCTCTTGGTTGGCATAAATTCTCTCGATTTTTTCGAACACTTATGTGCGCACGAGATAATTTCTGTACATTTATGTATATGTGTAGTATGCGTATGCATGCGCGCGCACATGTATATGTGTGCGTGACATTATTATGTATATTTTTTCAATAACATTATCTGTCCATGATAGCCAATAAAAAACGAAACATTCATCTGAAACGCGATTACTATCATGTAATAATATTATTAATAGAAACAATTACAAGTATGTGTAATAATGTATTTATCCCAAATCCAAAAAAGTCCTGTTCGCGCCAAACCAAATATGCAAAGATTATAGTATCATGATTGCGCCAAGAATGTCAAATTGAAATCTTCACTCATCATAATGTTGGATAAAGAATATTCTGTATAAAATAAAAATATTGGAAGAATGAAATAAACGCAATTAATTACATGATGCGTAATAATAATATGTACTTCTTCACCATTTTCAGATAGAGAATATGCGAAAAATGCTAAGAGAATAATAAATTAGTCGACAAATTTATTTTTATTTACCATATAAAATTTTGAAAATGCACCTAAAGCATCAACCAAACAGATCATTTAGACTTCTTGACATAAATTTGGTCATCGCAACATTCGCGAGAATATTGTATAATCTCTATTTAACTTTCTATGAACAAAGATGATGAGTATTGTTATCATCAAGTGGAACGTAATCTTAGTCGGCAAACTATCGCGAAATAACTTGACCTCTCTTAAGCTTGTATCAAAGATTGTGCGTATTAAAGAAATTGAAAATTAAAAATTCGAATCTGAGATTGATTAGAACAAAAAAATTAAACTTCTTTTTATCCGATTGATCAAATTTTAATTTTCAATCTTTAATTTTAATTTTTAAATAATCAGACTAACCCCATGCAGCACAGAATATTGCAGCAACATTGTAATATTGCTGCGACATTACAGCAATATTGTAATATTGTTGCAATGTTCTGTGTATGCTGTATGTGATATTGAAGATTGAAAACTATTAGATTACGCATTGAAGATTAAAAATTGGAATTTAATCAGACCTTAATCAGAAAAAGAGCTAAAACTTCTTTTTCAATTATATTGTATGACTTATTATTTTATATTATTTGAATTAAATACTACACATTTACGCACCAAACACACAGAGAGAAAAACATTCATGAAAAACATATATATATATATATATATATATTTTTTCTTTTTTTAAGAAATATATTATTATATAATAATTTCATGCATATATTTTGCGCGTTTTGATTGTGGCATAAAACATATATATATAAAACACATATATATATATATATATATATATATATATATATATAATTATGGTCATGCATTTGAAGATTAATCGAGAATCAAAGAAATAGCCGGCTATTTAAAATCAAATATAAATAAGAAGAAAAATGATGTGGCATATCTTGTATCAAATAATCATCATCCTTGCATTTCCAGTGTGGAAACAACCATAAGGCAAGATGCGATTTATTCTGTTAGCAATTCTCTCAACATCAACCACTGTGAAAAAGACCTTCCTTCTCTCCGCCCCGTTGGCGCAAACAAAACGCCTCTCCAAAGATTCGCAAAATGCCCTTCAATAGAATCTATGCGCACATACACGCACCGCAAAAGTACGTCGAGTAAAGAGTGCACGCACTTGGCCGAACAACCCAAAATTGCTCGCGCGCGATCGCGTTTTTTGTTTATGGTCACTCTTGAGATTCGCAAGGACAAAGGGTGCCCCTCAGCACCGATATTTTTGCTTTCATCGAGCATTTTTTTCTACCCGCTCCTTCCTCCCCTCTCTTTTTTATCGTGTAACACCCCTCTTTATGACAGCCGTCTTTTTTCGTGTTTTAAAAACTACGAGAGTATTGTCTCGATGTTCCTCCAGCTTGAATTAATTACTTATTTTCATTTATTCTATCGTGCTCAGAAAGAACCATCTCACAGAGAGTACAGTCCATATCCAAGTATATCAAAAAATAAAGTTTTAAAAAAGCTTTATTATTCTAGTGCACTCGCTAAAAAAAATTGTGATTTGCGCGTTATTCTTCATCGAAAAATTCTTTTTAAGCTTTGGCAATTAATTCTAATATATTTCGGATTAATTTATAGATTTACACATATATTTTAACTAGAAACATAATTATTGTATGATAAGATGCACTTATCATTTTTATTTAAAAAAAGATAAATTAACAATACAAAAATAATTTACTCGTTCCTGACATACATATACGATGTTGTTTGTATATTTAATAACGATTTAAAACTAATTTAAAAACGATTTATCATACGATATATCATATATTTCAAGTGTTTCATTTATATATAATGTGTGAATCCTACATCTTTACATTAATTTTTTTTAAAGTTTCATATAAAATATTTTTATTTAAAATAACAGCAACTTATACGCATATTCGCAAGTTATGAATTGATTGATAATTATTTTATATGTTGTAATCTATATAATTTAGAAATAATCTACACTGTCTTATCATATATAGGAGAAGAGAGGGAGAAGGCATAACATGCACTTAAACGTGATAAGAAATTGTATAAAATCCTCGTTTCGTATTGCAAAAAATAGTTTTTTCTCCCTATGCTCAAATGATCTGTTTATTTATTCATAATTTTTTACGAAAAACAGCTTATATGTATTTTATATATGTAACAGTTTTATATATGTATTATAATATTACATATGAAAAATAATGATTGGCAAAATTTGCAAATTATCAAAAATTTTTTCAAATCTCAATATTAAGATATTTTTAGAAATTTTTTAAAAAATATCTCATAATATAATATACATTTATAAAATTATATATATTTACATTAATAATATACATTTATAAAAATACTGGAAAAAGTTCCAACTATGAAAAAAGTTCCAATTAAAATAGTAAAATATTCACAGTAAAAACTTACAGAATTTGAAAACATTAAATCTTATGATCTTATCTTGATCATAGTATACAACATATTTATATCTTCAGTCTTATCATATAAAAATGTTTCAAATTTTACAAATAATGCACAGTCCAATTTCTACTTTTATATATACTTATTTATACATTTACACATATGTATTTGTATGTATGGACATGTGTACATTTATGTGCATATATATGCTGATATGTGTATATTTAAAATAAATAAATTATATATATTTATGTATTTCATACATTTGGGTATATATATTTTCATATATGTATACAATTATATATATACAAAACTTTTTGATGCTTTTTCGAAAAAATAATATATATCATCTATATAACATTATAATTCTATCAAAAAATTGAATTTTGCAAGCCAGAGAAATTTCTACTTTATTCTATCAATTAAACTTTTAATATTTATTATGCAATCATGTGTGATCTATAATCCATTAGTATATTATCTATTATCTAGTTAGATAATGTGTGTTTGTATTTATGTAGATATATTTTACATATTTATATGTTTTATATATTTATATATATATCTATATATATATGTGTGTATATATTTATTTATTTATTAATATATTAAAATTATTTTACATTCTCTGTTAATATGTATTTATTATTTTGATACGCGTAGTATTTACCTTCATTTTATTTCATGTTTCTTTTCCATCTATATACGTATATTTATATTTATACACACACACTACAAGTATCATATATTACATATATTTTCTGAAAAATACTATAAAGATTCGTTCGAATCAGAGTCATAATAAGTTTTAGTTTGAAATATTAAGAATTTTGTTGATTTAACATCGTCTTGTTGAATATCTGCTGAATTCTTAGATTTGTCAGAAATTTGTTTATTTTTTGATAAATTGTTAGAAGTATTTTTTTCAAGAGAAATGCTTGAAAATAATTTTTTTCGCATGGCTGTATCTTTTACTGATGTATCATTTATAAAACAAGAAGATATATTTTTTTCTGTATTATTAATTGTTGAATTAATAGTGTCATTAAATTTCTCATTATGCAATCGTTTGCTTCTTGTTTTTTTGCTGATTGATTCTAATCCAATCTTTATATCGTGTATTCGATTGGCAACATTATGCTCTTCAAAAGAAGAATTTGATGTTGAGCTTGAATGTCTTCTACTATATCTTTTTCCAATAAAACTATTACTATATGCTTTAAAATTAGCATGCTTATGATATTGTGATTTATGATGAAAAGAATTTTTAAACATCTTACGAGTAGATGTAGTATAACTATTAACTTCTTCACAATCTGAGGAGTCTGAATAAAATCCTTTTGTTTGGAAGAATATGCCATGAGTATCATCCTTATAATCTCTCCTGTTTTTTTTCACTGTTGCATTTGAATGTCTGTCATTACTATTGTTTATATTATAATTTAAAGAAGAAGCTCTTTCCTCTTTTTTATCCAAATTCTTAGATTCATTATCATTGTCATTCTTATTTGGGGTAAACAAAAATTTTCCATTTTTACTCATCTTTAAGGAAGTGGTTGTGTTATCGGAAGATTTTATCTCACTTGATCTTTTTCTATCATTGATTGATTCAAAAGCTTTTCTTGTTTTTTTAGGCTTTTTTGAAGAAAATATTATTGTCCTTAAGTTTCTATTACAATGATATTGGTCGTTGTTACACGAATTATTTTCAGTGATGTTTGTCTCACTTAGTAACTTCTCATTTATTGAAAATTTTAATTTTTTCTTGGGATGTTGTATCAACTGAACAAAATCATCTTCATCCGATGACAAGAAATTTAAAATTGAATATTTACTATCACTCTGTCTCGCTTTATTATCATTTTCATATTGATTTGGAAACTTTATCTTGTCGAAAACTTGATGTTCTGAAACAATATCCGATGTATCACTTATGCTTGGACTATTATATTTCACAGATTTGGTGTGCATTCTAAGTGAATAACCACTATCAACTTTATCAACTGTTCGAGTAGACGCCTCTATATTTTTACACGAAGTTTTAGACATTTTTTTAATTCGACGTTTTCGTTTATTATGCAAGTTTGTATTTTCCGAAATTATGTTTTTATGAACGAAAACATTTGTATCATTAAAACATAAATTTGGAGGTAATCGATCTAATACAATTTTAACTTCTCGAAGCTTTACATCTGTCTTGTTTATTCTATGTGAATTAGGAGAATGTGTATTAAGTTTGTTTAATATCTCTTTTTGCGGGATGTTATTTTTATCCAAAATTTTTGTGTTCATAATTGTATTTGTAGAATTATTGTTTACCGATTCTGGTAATCGTTCCAACATAATTTTAATTTCTCGAAATTTCACGTTATCTATTTTATTTACTTCATATGAATTAGAAGAGAATGTTTTAGATTCATTTAATACATTCTCTTGAACAATATCATCTTTATTTGAAATTTGTGATTTTATTGTTGATGATGATAATCGTTCCACTATAATTTTAATTTCTCCGAATCTAGCATTTGTATAATCCTCGTTTATTGATAAATGTGGAGATAATTCTTCTAATGTAGTAGTATATGATTCTTTGTTCTGACTGAGATCAGTATTATTCAAACTTGACAGTTTATCATCTTTCTCTTCTGTATTTGAAGCGGAAAAGTCATGTTCAGTACTTAATTTTAAATTAAATGAACAATCACTATCTCTTGAAAACAAACTAGAATGTTGCGTATTTGTTTTACATTGGCAAACAATAATGGTACTGTCGTCACTATCTACTGTTTCTAATTCTACATTTTCGACTTTGGAAGTATATAACTTATTATTGTTTAAATATCTATCATTATGTACCTTACTTTGTTCCATGATATAATTATTCTCCGCAGGTTTGGATTTATGTTGTTCAAAAGATGTATTTCGTTCCAAAAGAACTACTGGATTCATATTAAGGGAAGCTGAATCTTGTTTGCACGTTTCATTTCTTACAAAAATATTTGCATTATTGCACTCGGAAAACAAAATATCATCTTGTTTATCTGAATTGTTGTGATCTGAAATTTTACAAGAACTGTCAATAGTAAAATTTATAATTCTATTTGATAATTCATTACTAGTATCAATATTTTTATAAGAAATAGAAGATTTTCTTCTTTTTCTTTTCGTCTTTCTAGACTCAAGATTGATGTCGCCAAAAGGAGACAAATTTTTACTTTTGTCTTTGTGAACTAAAAATGTTTCTCTTTTCATCGTACAATCAGAATCTAAAGCTGGATGTAAAATTTGCTTTGTCCCAGATAGTCTACTTATACTATGCCTTTCAATTTGTATTAAATCTATAGGGGAATTTCTACCTGTATACAATTTCTTACGATAAAAAGGTATTAGATTTTTATCTTTTGTAGTAACTTCTTGCGCAATATTTTCTGACTCTTTCTCTTCATAAGAATTATCTTTTCCTAACGTTTTGTCTTGATGATTTGAAGCGTTGTCTTCATCATTTTCAGTCAATTGTTTTGATGTTTTATTAAACTGCCAAACAGTATCATCTGTAATTTCGGTGTCTAAACTTCTTTGATTAGTATTTAACACATTCTTATCAATTTGTTTATAATTTTGCAAATACATATTAGTCTCTATTGTGTTATCAGATGTCACTTTGTTAGTGACTGGTTGATCACATATTTTTGATGCTACATCTTTTGACACTGAATACAATTCAATATCTGGAATATTAGTATTAACATTGTCATTATCTATCACACAAGTGACTTTTGCATTTTCATTTTGCATACATTGAATCTTATTATCAGATGTAACTTTTTCTTTTACATCTTTATTACAAATATTCTTTGAATTAATATTTTTGCCACATTTTGCACTCTGTCTAATAGCTATAGTATCTACCTTATTTGTAATATTTGCATTTGATAAAATGTAAGCTGCAGTGTTTACAGAACTACAGGATGACTCATTCTTATATTTCTGCTTATTGCCTTCATTGATTATAGTTGAAACTGACGATAATGAAAGTATGATCTCTTTTTCGCTTAAAGATGATCCAGCTTCAGACAAATCATTCTCGTCTAGAAGCGCATTATAAGGTTGATGACCAGTATTTACCCAATACTGTACTAAGGTTGCGGGTTTGCGCATAGGTATTCGCTGTTCGCTGTATTCTTCTTCACAAACTTGTTTTTCTATTTCCTCTTCATCAGGTTCTAAAGTATCAACATTTAGTTCTATATCGTCAGACATCTACAAATAAAACATGAATTTTCTATCAATATATCGTTAAAAATGATTCAATAAAACAGTAAAATGAGGTTATACTTCTTCAGAATATTTGCCAAATAAATTAATCCAAGCTTTTTCCCTGACTTTCAGAAGCTTTTTTGGTATTTTAAAATTAAAGATGCGGTCTTCAGTTCCCGTAATCCTATATGCAAATTGACAATGTTTATTAAAAATAAATATATCAGTAATAAGTATATCAGACGTAAATGTACTTTATACGACAGTATATACATAGAATTTATATATACATATATATATATATATATATATATATATATATATGTGTGTAAAAGATGTAAATTAACCTTTCGATGCTTTGAGAGTAGGATTGTGAAAGGAAATCATTTTCTTTATGACTTTCCACCACGTAATTTTCCATATCAGTTATTACAGAGTATCATTTATATAAAAATATATGTATAGAAAAGGAGAGGTGTCATGACGTCAAGTGATCTCTGAAACACGCCTCTGTAGATACGCCCTCTGTAGACTAAAATCGTGGACATGAACTAAGAAGTCCACGAAAGTTCTCAGAAGGTAAATATACAATGTGCACAATTTATGGTTTCGTTCCGTGCTATGTGCACGAAATGCCGGCAGCACCAGTGCTGTAGCAAGAAGCTTAATTTAAATTAAAATTTTAATATAAAAAAAAATGAATTTTGTGACCTTCTCTTTCTCTCTCTCTCTCTCTCTCTCTCTCTCTCTCTCTCTCTCTATATATATATATATATATATATATATATATATATATATGTTTTGTGATCCTATCTGATATATATATATATATACAGGGTCTACCAAAAGTGTGGAAACCCCTAAATATCTCGGAAAATATACGTTTTACAGAAAAGTGTTTCCAACAAAAGTTGTAGGGTTTAAGAAGATCTATATACTGATTCTATCAGTTTGACCTTGGATGGCGTCGTCAAGGTCAGGTCAAGGTCACATTGACTTTTTTAAATGACACCCCCTACATTTGATTGCATATTCTTATAGCTTAATTCAAGAGCTTTCCAAAACACTATAATAATGTTCATTTTTATTAAGTACTTTGCGAGTTATGAGGGTTGAAATAATTTCTTAATTTTACATAAACCATAAAATATCTAGTAAACCATTCATTTTTCGATTATCTTACCTTCATACTTTTATGTACAAATTAATGAGAGGAATCAATTGGTGTAAAGAAAACACATAGTTGTTTCTAAGAAAAAATATGTAATTTGCAATTAACAATTCCATATTTTTTCTTAAAAACAACTGTATGTTTTCTTTACACCAATTGATTCCTTTCATTATTTTGTACATAAAAGTATGAAGGTAAGATAATCGAAAAATGAATGGTTTACTAGATATTTTATGGTTTATGTAAAATTAAGAAATTATTTCAACCCTCATAACTCGCAAAGTACTTAATAAAAATGAACATTATTATAGTGTTTTGGAAAGCTCTTGAATTAAGCTATAAGAATATGCAATCAAATGTAGGGGGTGTCATTTAAAAAAGTCAATGTGACCTTGACCTGACCTTGACGACGCCATCCAAGGTCAAACTGATAGAATCAGTATATAGATCTTCTTAAACCCTACAACTTTTGTTGGAAACACTTTTCTGTAAAACGTATATTTTCCGAGATATTTAGGGGTTTCCACACTTTTGGTAGACCCTGTATATATATATATATATATGTATATATCTCAGATAGGATCACAAAACTATATATAAGATATTTTATTTCGAAAAGATATTTTAAATGTGTGTATGTATATTATTTTTAAAATATGCATGTATATTATTTATTATACTAGATATTTTATTGTATTTATACACACACACACACGCACACGCACACATACATTGTCAAGTTTTTATCTCGTATAATATAATAATTTTAACTAAATTTCCTTCAAGATTGATTTGTGTTTAAATTTTTCTAATTCTGCATTTTTTAACATTTTTTTATCATTTAAATATTCTGAAGATTTCAAAAGATTTATCATTTCATACGATGTTGTATCAGCTTCTTAGAAGAGAAAAATAAGTAGAGCTATAGCCAGAAAACAATTTAAAGACGTAGTGTGAGAAAAGGATTTTTAAAACATTATATCACTTACGCATTGATATAACAAGAATTTCACAGATTTTATCTGCGAATACATACGATTAGTTATTCATCTTTATATATGCGTGTATAAATACTGTACATTATCTGGAAAAATGGATTTTCCTCATTCGTTATAATAGTTTCATAACATGTATTACTGCAGAAATTTCAATGAATCACTGATATTGTAATTTTAATGAATAGTATCATTGGTATAATAATATGCCGAGGCACAAAATATCTACAAACTTGTTCCCACAGAAAAGTTCATCAATTATATTCATAGAGATGAGAGCGAACATCTCACATGCTTTAGGCCATTGACATTGAACCTGGGGATCCGGTTGTCGCGGTTCTCGCGACAACTTTCTGTTGCAAGTTTTAAAGTAGCAAGCTAAGGTGCCTCGATATTTATGTTTAGAAGGAACGTTAGAGATCGCGAAAGAATGCAAGATTATTCAGAACATTTTTTTCCAGAACGTTTTTTCTTGATCTCAAAAATTATGAAAGATCAAATCTCGTTATTTAGCCCGCTTCTTATCTTCCAGTCTTCTTTTTTTCTGTTGTAAATTTCTTTTATGTATTGATAAGCGCCGACATTTATGTAGGATGTGTTGAGGATCGCGAAAAGGTGGAAGGAACTGTTTTTTAATTTCCTTTGCAAGTTTCAAATAGAACAGCATGAGATAAAAAAGAATAGCATGTGAAAACTGTAGAATACGTTTTTATGTTATATCTTGCTGACTTTTTGTAAATATAATGATTATAACTAACTAATATAAAAGAATATAAATAAAAAAATGATTAAAGAAAGAGAGATTATATGTAATATATCCACAGCTAATAAATATTAAAATAATAAATAATACTTTTAATAATTAGAGACTTGGCTCAAGTAATCAAAAAATCAAAAAGAAAATGGCATAAGAGCCAACGCGCGGTAGTTGAAGCGCAGAAGCAACAACATTTCTTTCTTTTTTCAATATTAATTTATTAAAAAACATATTATAATAACAAAAAGCGTTTCGGATCATTTTTTTATCCTTTTTGAGCGCGATGTTAACAATATATATTACAGATAGTGACACGTTACATAAAACAAATTTATTCTCGACGCGTAAATGACACTAAATTGCATCCGGCGGAGGTCTAGTAAGCACTCTGCTTCCAATAGTCAATTAAATATATATTATAATTATGCAATATTATAATTATGCTATGTGACGTCACAGCATATCAGATTCTGCGTTTTTTTACAATTAATAATATAGTATGTCGCTGTATGCCTCATGTTTATTCAAGATTCGATGATAAATTGAGCGAATAAAAAATACGTTATTTCTTAGAAATCTCAAACAAGAAGCGAATGTTTCGAATCATTTTTTGAGCTTTCTTCAGAGCGATGTTAACAATATACAGGATTTACCAAAAGTGTGGAAATCCCTTAATATTTCGAAAAATACGCATTTTTAAAAAAAAGTTTCAGACAAAAGTTGTATGGCTTGAAGGAGGACATAAGATGGTATCATTAGTTTGACATTGAAGAATCACCTAAAGGTCACGTAAAGGTCACATCCAACTTTTTAAACGGGACACCCTATATGCTTTTGCATATTCTTATAGTTCATCTCGAGAGCTTTCTAAAACACTATAATTAAGTCAGTTTTCATTAAGTACTTTCCGAGATATGAGGCTTGAAATCATTTCTTAATTTTACATAAATCGTAAAATATCTAATAAAATATTCATTTTCGATTATCCTACCTTAATACTTTTATGTACAAATTAATGAGAGGAATCAATTGGTGTAAAGAAAACACATAACTGTTTCGAAGAAAAAATATGTGATTTGCAATTCCATTTAACAATTCCATATTTTTTCTTCGAAACAATTATGTGTTTTTTTACACCAATTGATTCCTCTCATTATTTTGTACATAAAAGTATTAAGGTAGGATAATCGAAAAATGAATATTTTACTAGATGATGTCTAATAAGCACTCTGCTTCCAACAGTCAATTAAATATACTATAATTATACTATGTATATAATATATATTATAATTATGCTATGCAATGTCACAGCATATCAGATTCCGCGTTTTTTTACAATTAATAATATAATAAGTTATAATATAGTAAGTCGCTGTACGCCTCATGTTTATTCGAGATTCGATGATGAACTGAGCGAATAATTAATACGTTATATTTCTTAGAAATCTCAATATATAATGTATATATAAATTAATATCTTTAATTATGACTTATACGATTTATGCGAATATATAAATGCTGTTGATAATTTTTTTAAATTTTATATCAATAACGATAAATAAGAAGAAAAAATCTATATAAATTTATATAAAAAGGCATCACTTAATTTTTTCATAAAGATTATTTGTGTTTGCAAAAGCACCTGAAATCTGTTCTAATTTTTTTATATCTTCTGACTTTTGCGGTATACTTGGAGGATATTCTTCATATCTTTGCTGCTAATAAAAAATCTTATTCGACGAATTGATCGGTGTGGTAATGCCCAGTTTAAGACCGAAGGACAGAATATCGTTTAACTGTTTATTTTTGGCCTCTTTCAGTTTCTGTTTTAATATTTTTGTTTCTCTTCTCTTCTCTCGAACAGCAATGACGACGAAATTCTCGTCCTTCGGCGACAAACGCTCTTCCTTTCCCCGCTCTTTCTATGTCTTCGCATCCTTGTCTTATCGTGTGACTATTATCGCCGTATATAAGAAAGCGATCGAGTCGAGGACGACTCGAAAGTGCAGATCATCTCGCGACGAGCACAGTGCGTTAATAGACGTTGTTTCTTACGGATCGAAAACACACATCTTCGAGATGTTCGCGAGAGTTTCCTGGATCGTCGCGATATTTGTGACTCTTTGCGTTTGTATCCATGGTGAGTTATTTATATTTTTATATTTTCTATTTAAGAGAACATAATATTCATAATATGCAAATTTCCTCCAAATTGCATAAATTATAATTTAATCATTGTTATTGTAAATAAGTACAAAGTAGCGTTACGATTAACACTTATCAAATTGCGATAAATTTATAAGAAATACGAGTTAGAACGTTTAATTAAAGATATTGACAATTTAAAATAAAACAAAAATGTTGACAAAAATTTTTTTTTAATTACAAGTGATATTCTTTTAAATTTTTAAACAGTAGATGTAAAAATATAATATCTGATATTCACAATATTTGATAATTTGTTCGACTCGAGAATAATATTCAATAATTTGATTAAGAGATTATAAATAAAATTCTACAAAATTGTGCAAAATAATCGATCTTTTATCAATTAAATATCGTATTAATTCCCTTTACAATTATATATCTAAACTTATCGAATAATTAAAATTATTTCAGAATAAAAAAAAATTTCAAAATAAATTTCTATCAGTTTATAATTTGTATGCACTTTTTTGCAATTTTTTCAAATAACTGCGGCTATCCATTTTTACAATTCAAAAAATTTTTTCATTCTAAATTCCGTTTTATTTTGCACATTATGTTTATACGCGATTTAAACGATATAAGCAATAATTTATTGCTAATTTATTTAAGCAATAATTTCACCAGAATTATATATATTTTAATGCAAAGCAATTTCTCCAAGTTCTCCATTAAAGTTAAATTGCTTTGAAAGAGAGAAATCTGCAAATCTATAGAAAAAATCTACAGATTTGCAGATTTTTTTACGATTTTTTCTATCGTTCTACAAGTTCCAAGTATTTTTTTTATAACGTATCGTTAACAATAATGCGTGTCATTATTTAAAAATATTTCTATGATCGCATCCTTGGCCATCAGCCTTGAAAGCAAGAGCTCTCTTATTCTCTCTAACAAAAGATCGAGCTTCTTCTTCCCACGCACTTGTGCTAATTCTAATATCTACAATTTTATAAAGAGTATCTATTATTTTTTTAAAGAAATAATATATAATGGATTAAATATACAATATATGAAACATTTTTTAATACATATATGCTTGTTAAAAATGAAAAATTATTCGACTCTATTTTTTCTCTCTCTGAATATATCATTTTCTAATAGTTGTTAATAACTATACAACGCTACAAGTTATGTATATATAATCACCGTACTATTACGAGTCTGCTGGTCTTTCAGCAATGTTATGTTTGTCACAGAAGATGACTAATAAAATGATTATCCGATGAACTATCCGTTCTGTCTCATGTTTCTATATAAACGAGTAAAATCTTGCGCTTGAATTACGATAGATGTTATGATTATTGTTTTTTAAATGCAATTAGATGCAGTCTATTTACAATGAAATAAAAATTAAGATAACGATGAGGAGTTGTTTATTTTATTTATATGATAACTATGTTTTTTTTAGATCCGTGTTTTCTCATAAATCATATATGATAACCTCATTAAATGTAAGATTATAATAGCGATGCTGCGATTGTATGTCAACTATTACATGCGATAAAAACTTTCAACCAAAAATAAAAAATAATATTTATAAAATAAAAACATACAATATTCTTAAATCATATATTAAATGTATATCTTAATGGATCATAATTTCAGAATGCATTGTTTTAAAAATATTTAAAAAATATTATTAACGCGTATATTTTTTAAGCATTCTGGAAATACCGAATTTCGATTATGATGACGAGAGATTTATAATTATAGATAACGGTATTGACGGAAGAATCCGCGATTGGCGAATTCAAAAAACACAAAAAAGCCTTCATTAAATGATCCGTTTCTGTACTTAATTAATAAAACTTACGAAATAATTCGCGATTACAATCTAATTCAGAAAAATGCGAAACGTCAAAATTAATGGACTAAATTAAATTATTTAATTTATTGTACATTTATTTAAATTAGAATTATTGTAAATTTAGTTTATTGTAAATTGATTTAGAAAATAGAATAGGATAATTCTTCCTCGCGTTTCGTTATTTTGATAATTTATTCCAGATAATATATTCATATCATATATTTTAAAGAAAACATAAAGATGTAATAACTCGGAATACAAATATTTAAAAAGATTCTAAATATTGGACATTCATTTTCTGCTCGACCAGATTTGACTTGATATAACTTCATAATAAAAAATGACAAAGGCAAGGTACGATCTGAATATAAAATCAAACCAGAAAGGTATTCATTGTAGCACTCGTCTGAACGAGTTGTAATTTAAATTCACAGGTGGATTTGAGTTATATTTTTAACCATGACGTTGTAAAACTATACTCATATATAGATATAGGTACAATACATTAAATTAAGATGCAAATGTATGTACTGGGAGATGTCACGATCCCAAAAATGTCAATTCCGCACATATCACAGAGATCTAATCATTTTTTTAAATGTTATTCTATTTCAAAATATGTATCATCTTATAAATGATTTTAGACGATTTAGATCCTGGTTATATAAAATTCTAATAAAAAAATGACCCATTCTACAATAAATTTGTACAAAATAGAGAAATTTAACTGCTTCAATTGTCATATTTTATCATTCATTATTATTGTTATTAATTATAAATTTGACTACCTTCTCACTAAAAAACTTTTCTTCTTGATTAAACTCTTATATTAATATAGAGACGATATTTTGCAGACAAACTTGAAATAAAGTTCGTAAATATATTTTTCTTTCTATTCGCAAAATAGCATACAATTTATATGATTTTGAAGAGTCTAAAAAAAGTCTAGAAAAAGTTAATATAGAAAAGTTTTTTTTTTAAATCAAAATTATTTTCCTTCCATTTATAAATTGTTGCTACTTTAATTTTTTTTAAATTTATTATTATGTGCAGTATATTCTTCATTTAATTAGAAAGCTTAATACTAAATAAACAATACTATTATATATGTACTTCTAATAAATCATCACATGAACATCCAGATAATCAAATATCATAAATTATACATATTGCTATCATATATTACCGATACAATCATATTATTGTCAATAACTGTCAATAGTAATAAGTTGATAGTAATCTCACAGACAATTGTCCATCTAGACATCTGCTAGAATATTATAATTTTATAATTAACGATTTTTTTTATTACATATTGCTATCATATATTACCGATACAATCATATTATTGTCAATAACTGTCAATAGTAATAAGTTGATAGTAATCTCACAGACAATTGGCCTCTAGACATCTGCTAGAATATTATAATTTTATAATTAACGATTTTTTTTATTACAGCTCAATCACCGTCCAATGAAGAACCCGTGTCACAAGTCTGCTTAGGCTGCATGTGCGAAGTTGCTTCGGGATGTAACACCACTATCGGCTGTTCCGAATCACTTTGCGGACCCTTCGCTATAACATGGGGCTACTGGGCAGACGGTGGCAAACCAACTCTAAACAATGAGCCGAGCGCCACCGATGGTGGTGAGTTAATTTTTTTCTCGTAAAAAAAACTGTTTTCGAATATCTATTTGGATATAATAATTTCTATAATTCTAGTGCTTTATAGCTGTACTTTTGTTTTATTTCACTCCCCTTTCTCTTTCTCTAATAAAAAAGGCAAGTGTATTATTATACTTCGAAAAGAAAAGTGACATAAGAAAGAGTATAGACGAACGTATAGAAAGCGTAGCTAAAAAGAGAAATTCGACTAAAACTTCAAATAAAAATTATACGCATTAACTCAAGAAAATGCTGATCAGCGATCCAAGGATCTATTGTAATGTTATAGGAGCTGCTCAATCAGCGATCCAAGGATCTATTGTAATGCTATAGGAAATACAGCCTTTTGAGAATTCATAAGATTAGCTAGATAAATATAAGAATATATAAATATTTCTCTACAAAAATATTTATCCTGTTATAAAGGTTTCCTTATCAAATGTATACGTTTACTTAAAATCTGAAAAAAAATACAAAATATGTATATTTCTTTTTATACAAAGTTAAATATAATTCAAATATCTATTAAATGACTTTTTTCAATTCAGTTTCTGGAAAAAAGAAATGTAAAATTTAAATACCTATATTTAAATCATATAAAAACAAATAGAAATTTTATAACAATAATATATAATTTTTTTCTTTTTTTCATTTTTAGCTTATCCCCGATGTGTCAACGATCCCTATTGCGCTGCTCGTACGATACAAGGCTACATGAGCAAATTCGGTCAGGTAGGATCAGTTTTGCATCGATATACATAGATATAAAATAATACTCGATATTATCATTGCTATGTAACATTTTTTATACATTTATTGAACAGGACTGCACTGGAAACGGAGTGATCGATTGCGACGATTATTTGCGTATTCATTATTTGGGCGCATATGGCTGTACCGGTCAATTAAGCAATAAACTCGAAAAGAGATACAAATTGTGTATAGCAACATTTGGGAACCAATAATACATGCATATCATCTATTGGAAAATTTAAATACATACCATTAATTATCATTATGCACAATATGCATTATACACATGAATATCTGATAGATATATTTTTAGCAAATATTTGAAATCATTAATTTTAAATGCACAGCAAGAATGTTTGACATATAATTGAAATGTTATTAAGATCTGACATATATAGCTCATAAGTAATCAGAAATGTGCAATTTTATATAAAATCATGATATATATATAAAATACAAATGCATTTATATGAAACTATGGCATGCATTATCATTTGTTTTGAACTAATATACAATATACAATTAATATACAATTAATAATTATAAATTTCAATCTTTGTAAATATATATATATATATATATATATATATATATATATATATATTATATCAATATATAATTTTATTAAAGCTAGATGTTTTTGCGCTAGTTGTAAAGATTGTTCAAAATCAATATTCTCAGTTTTAGAATAAAATCATAAATTGTTCTTTGGCTGTTTAAAGTTTTTTTTTACCTGATTAGTGTTATTTATATTTGCAATGAGCTTTTAGTCTTTTCATATTTCAATCGTTTTTTCTTATATTTGTATACATTATTCTTTTCAATAAGTTATCAAAATCAATTATAATTACATTAAATTAAAATATTCTATCTAAATAATAAGATTATATGAAAAATCAACAGATATTGTGCAATAAATACTATACAATCATAAACATGTGTTAAAATATGAACAATCATAAACATGTGTTAAAATATTTGTTATCTTTGTGTTTTTATCTAAAGTTTATTTTTAGATCGATTTGTTTTTTTCTCCTTTTTGTACATTACATATGTTTTTTTATAATTGTAAAAAAGTATATAAATATTGATGAAAGAATATGTATTACACATTTATACATATTTACAAAATGTTACATATATAAAATATAAATTTTTGACATATGTATATAATCCATCATTTATCAAATCTTTAAAATATAAGTTTCGATTCTCGAGTACTTAAAATTTTATCTACTATTTCTGCCCGTTTTTTCAATAATTCACTTTTTTGCTGCATATTTTCAGTAGCATCGATATTTTTTACGAGGAAATGATTTATGAATAATCTAAGACTTTCTCTAAAAGTTTGCAACTTTGGAGATAAGGATATTCTTCCAAACACGTCTAAACAAGTTTCTTCATTTTCATGTAATAATATTCCTAACATAATTTGTCGTATAAGCCTCATTGTTAGTTTATCTAATTCCATAAATTGGATCACCTGAAATTATCAAAAGAAGTACAATAATAACAGCAATATTAATATAAATATAATAACAAAAATGCTGCAAAAAATAAATAAATATCGAATATACAATACAAATTTACATACTTTTAAAACAGAAAGAGGGAGACCTTTGTCTAAAAACAAGTGGGTCAAGAACTTTGCTAAATTTGTTAGCTGTTTTGTTTTTAAATCTTCTAATGTCTTCAATTTGTCCCACAATGCATATTGTATAGTTAACTACAAAAATTAAACATAACAATTATTATAAAGTCATAATTATTATTAAAATAAAAAATAAAAAGAAAAAAGTTCTTTGTGCATAAAATATATTACATTTATATACCTGATATTTTCTATCAGAATCACATAGCCTTTGCGCTAGTACGGCATAATAAGGATTAAATTTTTTTTCTTGAATGCAGCAATTGAGGATGACATAAATTACTTCTCTTTGCTGCTGATTTTTCAAACTAAGATGATGAATCTTTTCAAACGCGTCTAAATAATCTTCAGCTGTCATTAGTACGCAAAAGATATCTCTTCTAATATCAGTATTCATCCTTTGTTTTCGTGCCAATTCCAATATTTTCTCACTGTATTTTTGTTTCTTGTCTTCTGAAGTTTTTTCAACTTTACCAATATCCCTGAGACCGGACCAGGCTGATCCTATTATCCACCATTTTCCTCTTTCATCAACTAAAAAAGAAAATATAAATACTTGATATAAATTTGACATTTATAAAAATATAATTTACCTATATATGTATATATTTTTCCATCATATTATATAATATTATTTTTCCCTTTACCTTCTAATAAGTCTTCCAGAGTTACATTAAATTGTGTGACACTATTACCCTTATGGATAAAATTTTTTATAATTTTTTTCAAATGTTCTATCTGAGATGGATCATATTGAGATATTTTGCTCATATTATTATTTTTCAATGCCAGTAATATCTCTAACATAAACTTGACTCTCAAACTATAAATATAATAAGACATACAAATATAATGAAAATAAAAAATACAAAGAGAAATGCAAATTTACACAATAATTAGCAAAGCAATTCAGAAATATTTATTACATCGAGAAATATAAAACTCACTTTTCTACAGTTGCATTGTTTGCCTTTTGTTGCAAATTTAATATCAGATCTTTCATTGCAGTTGGATCATCTTTTCTTAATTGAAAGCCCACTGTTTTCAAAATCAGCAAAATTAGTTCAATCTCTTTCTCTGTGAATTTTTCTGCCAATTTCTCTAATATTTGATACAAAAGTCGATGACCATATACCTAAAAAAAATAAAATTGTATAAGAATTGTATGTAAAAATTATTTGTTTTTAATTATATTGTTGTTAACCATATTTTACCTTGAAATTATAAAGATGTGAAATTATAAGAATTAAATTATCTAATTCCTTATTCTCAACACAGTGAGATTCTTCCAACATCTGATGAAGCTTTCTTACAATAGTCAATAAAAAATGTGCACCAACTTCTGTACCAATATTTGCATGTAATATAGTAATCAACATCATATGTTCACAGATAAGTCGATCTGGAGTTAATACTGGTGCAACTATACTTTCTATCATTAGTTTGGATAATATTACATTCATGTTATTGCGACTATTTGACATGTACATTTCCTCTACCTATATTAAAAATATTTACATAAATCTTTCATCACAAGAAAAATTGACATCTCTTTTAATAAAAATATATAATTTACAACAATATATGAATTGATAATTTGATTAATAATATGATAATTTATAATTTATGATCTTCATGTTTAACCACAAGCTATCACAAGTATAATTGCATACGCATATATTAATTACCTGATTTCCAATAGTATGCATATTTTGCTCTGCCAGTCTATTTAGGATACCTTTCAATTGTCTTTCCAATCTATGAACTTTTTCACCACTGACAGAAATGTCGATGCTTGTAATGCGTGCACCAGGTGGTACATATTTCTTTGATACAATATTACCCTTCTTGTCTCTTTGTCTACCATAAATATCTTCCCACAAGCCTTCATTATCATCTGATTGCTCTACTGTAACATGCCTCGATTCTTCATCTTCTGTCTCATCCTTATCACTTAAATATTCCTCAGTTTCATTTATATCATGTGTCTCTTCTGGAGCAATTTCTTCATTATCATCTCGATCTGAATTTTCATCAGTTGAAAGATTTTCCATATTCATATCTTGCTCAAAATCTTTGTCAATATCTTTGTTATTTTCTCCTTCAAATTTTTCACTTTCATCCTCGACATCATTTTCAGCACCAATAGCTAGATTTAAATCTTCTTCAAATTCTGTGTTCAATCCAGTTTCTAATAACTGTTTATCAGTTTCAACCAAATGACTCCTATTCTCAGAATCACAAAAATCTAAAAGATCTATATATAATTGAGTTAAAGGTATATAAATTATTTGTGATCATTGTGATAGTATAAACGTATTTAATGCATAAAAATATATTGCAAGTTTATTTAAGAATACGTAAAAAATTAATAAAATCAAGAATAATTTAAGATATATAAATATATAGATAATATCCATAAAACTTTTATATTTGCTATAAAATATAGAAATATAAGTTTATTGAGATTACTTCAATAAATTTTATATTAAAATATATTGAAATTATATAAAATATACATAAAATTATATTCTTGAAAACGCGAGAAGAAATTATACATGAGATCTTATAAATTATAAAGGATACAGTCTAAACCATCCGATACGAAAGACTTTGGAGTGGATTTGCTATTTCGTTTGTTCAACTTTAATCGTTTCTCTAATTGTTTAATCATTTTGTCTTCTTCTTGATTGGCCTGTTTCAATTGTTCCATTTTTTGTTTTTTCGCTTTTACTTCTATCTTTTCTTCCTTCATAGCTTTAGGTCTTCGTCGTTTTTGCGCCTTCGTTGATGGCGTTTGTTCAATATTGCTCTGTTCTTGATTTTTATTTTTCTTTTGATAAAATGCTGCTCTATTTAATTTCTTTTGTTGTCTCTTTTCTTTGCGTAATATTTTCCGCGTTTTCTCCGCTGGTTTAGTCTTGACACGTCCCATTTTGCAGGTAAAAGTTAACTTTACAGTTTTAACCTCGCAATTCAGTACACAACACGTGTTTTCATCTGCGCCTACATCATGCAACCATGACTACCAACAATCATGATGCACGAATGTCAAGATACGACACCTCACGACTCGTTTTATTCAGAAACTGTTATCTAGAATTGCGTTCGAAAAATTATTAAGGATGTTTTCAAAAATTGTACGTGTAAAGTAGCGTTTAATTGGCCAACGAAGAAATCTTTTTATCGCGATTGATCAATCGAAACGTTGTTCCGATGAAAATGGATTTTCGAACGCAATTCTCGCAAAATGTTCTCGGCGCGCGTTTCATCAATTTAAAAATTGTAGTCTTTTGTTTTTCGGAGAAGAGTGTGTGCTCTACTTTTCACGAAATTGCGAAATTGCTCACACATCGGATTACAAAGAAAAGAGAAAGGATTTGACTTATTGTGAAGAAAAAAGTGCATATAAAAGGTATAATTATCTAATAATAAAGATCAGAAAAATCTCTAATTTATTATTTCCTTAGTTATATTGGATCAAGTATATTGGAGCAAGAAAATTCGAAAGATTCTCTAATTAGCGGATTAATGGCCGTTTCTGCCAACGTCGTTTAATTTTAATATTAGCTTAACTCATTTTTTTCTTTTTCTAAAGGAACATTAGAAAGAGACGAAGAGCGAGTTTAATCTAAGATTAAAGTAAAAACGAGGTAGAACAGGCATAAGAGCCACTTCAGGCCAATTAATTTAATATAATATTTGCAATATTTATAATTTATTTGTTATAATATTTGATATAATATTTATTATTGATATAGTCAATTTTTTTGTACATGGAAAAAATGAAATTAAAAATGAATGAATTATATTCAGAAATTTTATAATAGATATCGTTATTACAGCTGAATAATTATTGTCATCTTTTTATTTTAATTAATTTTTATCATAATTTTCTTCTGTTATTTATAAGTGAATCTATTTCTTTACTCTGCAATTTTTAATTTTCTAGATGCCTTCTTTACCAATTCAAATACTCTCCCATCCACGAAAGGATGATCTAATTATTTGTTGGTTTGCTGCAACAATGAGTGAGAAATCATTTAAGAAACGTTATAAATATGCTATTAACATGATAAATTGCGTGGAAGTTTGGTATATTATTTATTATGATTGCTATTTCTATATTTAATATTCAAATATTTAAATCTTCTCTAATTTGCAATATTTTATCAATCGTATTACAGCGGAGAGATTGAGGAAGTAATACAAAATAGCAGTGGAAGGAATAAAATAAGATTCAGTTTGCATCTGTTATCGCAATTGATGTATGGTGTAACTAAACTTCACTCATACCAGACTTCGTATTTTGAGAGTAAATTTAGCTCACAATATATATTTATAATAATAATTATTATTAGACTAAACTAATTATTTATTGCTTAATTTAATATATATAATTTTATCATATTTCAGAAGAAATTCTTGAAACTCAGCTAAAACTTAGTGTAGTACTGCAAAAAGAAGATGTTGTAACGAACCTTGAGAATTTTCCATTTGAACTATCTTTGAGAGAAGAAGATCCTCAATTGGATGAAAATTTACATTACTTACATTTACATAAAGATCTGGATCATGGATTACAAATGATGGTAAGTGGTGCTTATACAAATTAATTAAATGACTAGAAGGAGTATATTTTTAATAAATTTTGTATATCCTTAAATATTAAAATTTTAAGTTTTGAGCTATTTCTTACTATTTCCTTTCAAATCTTTGGTTCTTTGATTATAAACTTTGCTGACTTCATATAAACCTTGATTTTCTTTCTATTCACACAGATGGAAAATGCGCACCAATTTGAAAATTTTGGCACTTTGAAGAGTTTGACCGACAAAGAATTGGACAATGCGTTTGAACATGATATGTTAGTTCCTTTCTAAATTTTTTAATTTTTTCCCTATGTCATAATAACTTATCCTTTAATCCTAATTTAATGCAATTCTTTTACAAAGTACAATAATGAAGTTTACATTGTTGACTTTTCTTTTAATTATTCTTAATTTTTCTTTGCTTTTATATCTTAATATAAAAATTAATTTACAATGTATTTAATATAAAGACATATCAATACCTTGTTTTACAGTAATCTGGAAAGATTGCGGATCATAGATTTTGACCAAGAAAGACAGGGCGAAATTCATGATATAGAAATTACAGAAGGTAGATAAGTATTTAAGTTAATAACATTATAATAACATTATATATTGTATTTTATATTTAAATTAAATTATTTATTTTGGTGAAGAAATTCACCAAGAAAGACATTCATCTCAGACAAGCCATAGCCCATTACTTGTGGATGTAGCTTATACAAAAACTAAATCCAAGGATTTATCTTTGACTCCACAAAAACGAGGGTCACAAGTTCATCCGCAGGTGGAAACACCTACAAAGAGAAGATGTGTATGTATTTATGATAATTTTCTTTTTGAGTTAAAAGACAATGTTAATATTTTGAGTGCGTATATTGGAGATAAGGTATAACTAAGACTAATAATGACTTGAAAGTTTTGAAAAATTAAGTAATCTCGATTATCTTTAGTTTAATGTAAATGATCATTATATGTTATTTGCATAGTTTTTCTGCATAGTAATTCTGCTTCTTATATAACATTTTTTTATATTACATTTTACAGCTATCTTTTGAGGATACAATGGTTGCACCTGTTGCAGAAGATGTAACTATTGAAGAAATAACAGCAGCAGTACTGCGACAGCAGATAGAACCGCAACTTCAACCTTTAGATTCAAAATTTCTTGTAACAAAAAAATCAAAAAAGATAATTGATAAGAATATTATTTTGAACCCACAATTATTTAAAAAAAAATGTCAAGATGTAAATTATAACTGCAAAGTAAGTTTGTATAATTTTGTAAAAAATATATATATACATATATAAATTTGTTAAAGTTTGAAAGATAAAAATCAAATCTAAATCAAATTTAAACATTTTAATTTGATAAAAATTTCCAAAGTTCTGACCAGATCTTACTTTTAGAAATCCGAAATAGTACAAAAACATCGCTCTATAGCAAATGAACTGTTAAAGCAACCTTCACGCTTGGAACATAAAAAATGGGCGGCCAGTTTATGTGATCTCTTTAAAAACCATATCATCGGAGAATTTAAATCCAGCGCAAACGAAAACATCAAACCTATTGGATTGACAGAAAGTACATTTATATTTAAACACTTATAAAATATAATTGTATTGCATTATTATGAGAATAAATTTATATGCATCTCTTTACTTTTAGTCACAGAAGCGATACGCGCAGATGAAACTGCAAGCAAGCTAAATCTGCCTACAGAATTAAGTACATTCGGACAAGATGCTATGACTAATGGTTCTACTTTAGTTACCATCGCGAACATTGATCCCAATAATCGTTATCTCAATGATCAAGATGTTGCTCAGGAAACATTAGCGCAAGAAATGCTACCAACTCAAACAGTTGGAGCAAAAGAGATAATACCAGAAACGCTTGATATTTCAGAAGCAGGCATTTCAAAAGAGTTCGTATTATTAACAACACGCGTAGAAATCAATTATATATTTATATAAGTTAACAAAACAAAATTTAAGAGATTTAATTATTTCGTTCTTTCAAATTTCTCACATCTTAACATCTTCTAAATCTTTTAATTCCGATTCAATGTATGTGTCGATATATCTTTAATATCTTTTTAACATTTCCAAATTTCTTGATATTTATTTATTAAATAAAATATCAACATCATTCAACATAAGTAGAACATAGTAGATATAAACAAGACTGATAAAACGTTAGAAAATATAGTAATTTTAATGGAGAGACAATATTTGAAAAAAATGATCATATTCTAAAATCTCCTTCAATACTTTAGTATTTTGAAATTTCCTTTTCAAAAAATAAAAGGTCGAACTCGATACAACAACTTTTTAAATTATACTTCACATTCGAAATATAGATACTTGAAAGAAATAAAAATCATTAATTTAGAGAAATTGAAAAGAATTTTTACTTATTTTATCTTAAAAATTTTGATAAATTCTTTTTTAACACATAATTACTTCAAGTTTAATTATGAACTTTAATTAGAAAAGAGCTATTTAATATTCAATAAAAATATTGTTTTTATTAGGTCAAATGAAATTTCGCAAGCATCTCTGAATCACCATGACATTTTGGCTATATTGGAGTCTTTATGGTGCGATCAGGAATGTGTTAAGTTTAATGAACTTGCGCCCGAGACATACTCGGCAAAAGATAAGACTACGATTTTCCAAATTCTGCTCGGTAAGTATTTTTTTAATCGCATTTTTATCATCTAAAAATTCATCGCCCATCGCATCATATACCAATATCTAATACTAAAATAATGATATGTGACATGTCATTAATAAAATATCTACAATATAGAGCTTCATGCTGGACAAAAGATAATTTTGATGCAAAAAGATTGCTATGATACTCTGTGGATTCGAAAATACGAGGATTTCGACTAAATAATATTACTAAAATGAACATTAAAAAGACAAACAATTTTCTAATATCATTGTTTGTATTAATATACAATAACATTAGAAAATTGTTTGTCTTTTTCTAGAATTAATGTTCTAAATTGTTTATATAAATTAATGTTAATTGCATGTTTTTCACATTACAATTTTATATAAGGATTATTTCAATACGAGAATTTTTTCTCTTCATATTCATTGAAAACGAATGTGAATTTTTTTCTATTCTGCAATGAGTTCTCATTACTAGTCATTATAGTTAGTATTATTTAGCTATAAATATATGTATATGCTAAATAATATTAATCGTAATTAGTATATATATATATATTTATATATATATATGTTACTCACATTAAAGGCTTTAATGTTTAATTAGATGGGAAAAGGTGAATATATATAATCATATTTCATTATATTATAATTTAAGTTAGAATTATCGTCTTTTTATTACGTTATCATAATATTTCAGATATTAGCTAACTTGGAACTTAGCTTTTTTTATTAAAAAAAAATAGTTTAATTTGATGAATGGCATCTATTATCTATTTCTGTTTTTAAAAATTTTAATTTATTTTAAAAAATTATAATAAAAAATTATAGTGCATACATCATAAGTTTTATCTGAAATAAATATTTACGTATTTATTGTATTATATTATTAGTAAAATTTCAATTATGATTCACACATACAGTTACATAATATTTAATTTTTAATTCTTAATCAAAAATATATTCTGATATTCCTTTTATGTAGATATTTTATTTCTTGCTATATTTTTATATTTGTCTCAATCTAAATTAAAAATTTTAAAATCTACATGGATTAATAAAATTGGACGTGTTAGGGAAGGAAATTATATTACTGAAATATTTTATGAAATCAATGGTACATATACAAAACCTTTAGAACAACTGCGTATCATATTTTTTCTTTTTATTTTTTTATATTCTTTTCTCTCATGGGTGTATACATATTTCTTAGTAGATCGTTCTTTCGGCGTATACAAATTTCAGAATTGTCTCAAAATGGCTTTTTTTACTAAATTTTTTCGTCATGTATTGTTTTTATTTTGTTCCGCATTTTTTTTTATTTCAATTATTTAAATGGACAGTCTTGCTTTTACAATTCTATTTGCTCGATGAATTAAGACATTTACACATATACGCTTTCGTTTTTCAAAATGATCTATTTTACATTTATCCAAACTTGTTCAACGGATAATCTTGCTTTTACGATTGCGATTGGGTGATGAAATAAAACATGCACGTATTTTCTCTCTCTCTCTCTAAAAATTATTCGTACTCTAAACAGAGGATGTCTTACCCTGCCGAAAATAAATGAATTACAATAAACTGACAATTTTTAAATAGTTTTTTTAATTTCAAAGAAATTAAGAATCCAATTTTACAGAGTAGATTTTTTTCTCAATTCTTTTTATTACAAGAAATGAGTGAATTCATTTTATTACAAGAATTCTTTTTTTGAATTCTTGTAATATTATGATATCGATTATGATGAGCTCGCACATATTTTTGTCCTCCAAAATGAGCGCGTTCGATAATCTCGAAAAATCGCATTCTAATCATGTCATTTATGTCATTTATATATATACATATTGCATTTACGCGATAATTCGCTATAAAGTAATAAGGGACACATATTGTAAATTTTCATAAAGTTCTTATAGAGACTTATCCACGTTTATAATGCCTTAATAAAAACAGCCAACGAGATAATTTTATATAAGCAAGTCTTTATCTCTCTTTTTTTTAAATAAAGAAAAAAAGAAAAAAGAAAAAAGATGGAAGAAATCGTCGCGTGTTATGCGTGTCTCCGGTTTTTGGCGTGATCGAAAAATGTCGCTTGGTCCGAACCGTTGGACTAACCGTTTACTTTCTTTGGCAGAAATCAATGTAAGCGTATTCTGTTCACGTTAATCTCAGTCTCACTTTACAGAAGAGATCTTCGAGATGAAAACGAGACGCCGAATCTTCGGCGAGAAGCTATGATTTTTATCGAGATCGCGCTATGCTAATACGATCTTCTCGACTTTGTCGGCAAATAGATACTAATTGTAAGACTCTCTGCGTACGCATGATATTTCATAATCGCTAGCGAATTTTACGACCACATCGATAAAGTGTCGTTTCGTGAAGAGCGTTTATTTACATAGTTAAGGCGCTAGTCGCTTATTCGAAGGATCGATTCGTAAATACTATTTAATATAGCGCACAAATACGTTGAATTAGGATAGAACGGAACACATTCGTGTCTTCCTTGTTCTCCCAGATTCTTTTTTTACAACGTTCTTAAATACTAAGCTAGAGAATTGGCACTATTTGAAAAATTGTTTACGGAAAGTCGATTTTAAAATCAGATTAATCGAATCATATCGCGCACTTTTAAGAATATTTCAAATCGAGAAGAATCGAAAAATTTGTAGGAAATGATGTTCGATGATATTTCGTAATTTTAGAATTTAATTCAACACAATATATATAACTGCCTGCCATTTCTTTTTAATTAATTGACCTATGTTTTTATTCGGGGTAACATGTAACGCTGCGAAGACGTTGCAACATTTTTAAAATCTTTTAAATTGTAATACTCTCATTCCCGATAATCGATCATTCTTACATTCGTACATCGAATGGCTCGTTAATAAATATAGATCGTACTAATAAAGCGGAGGTACTCGTATGGAAGTTGGCGTTCACCCTGTATATCAATAGTTGGTCGTCGCGAAAGAAATGGATCGGTCAATCACACTTTTTTTTTTTTATCATATAATCACGTTTCGTAAGGTAATATAATCGTAATTCGGCAATAGAAAGAATAGAAAAATTGTAATTCGCTGATAGAAAATGCTATCAAAAACGTATATTAATCATCGAATGTTTGTTTCCCCTTGTTCCTCGATTAATCATATATCGCTGAAAATTGGTGTTTTCCTCAGGATTCTCTTTCGGCGCGATATCGTACGTGGTACATACAGGGTTACGTGTGTACGAAGGCCTTGTTTTATATATATTAACGGCAGTATTTTTTTGGTGCAGATGTAGCATTAATTGAGACGTCTCTTCGACGAATAGACCTGAGAGTCTCTGCTGTCACTCTTTCTCTCTCTCTCACTTTGTCAATTGAATTGTCTTTGGACATATATTGCTCTACCAATCTTTTTAAGATTTTCTTTTTAAATTTCCGTCAACGACGATAGTTTTAAGAAGGGATTTGTTATCTCTCTTTCTAAATAACATTAAATCGTCCGGCGAAGATACCAAGTCGAACCAGCGAATCTCGATCATACGTGTATAGTGAATTCTTGTCTCTCTTGCTCTTTTCTTTGCTGATATCTGTAACAGACAATGTGCATCCGTCCTCAAAAATACATAATTTCATTGTTTATGTATTTTTGCAACATTCATTTTTTTCACAAGCGATTAGATATTTTTAAATCGGATATTTTATCGATTCTCGATAAAATCATTTTTCGTAGATGAATTAATAATTACGATATTTTCATCTTATACAGAGAGTGCTCCCTCTAAATGTTTCATCTCTCGTTTCTTGCCTAATAATCGATTAATTATTTTTGATATAGTTAAAATAAAATTATAATAATTACATTAATATATAATTATATTAATATATTTTATAATAATTTTATATAATAATTATATTAATATATATTTTATAATAAATTATAAAAATTATATTAATAAAAATAAAATTATTTTTGTAAAATTATTAAAGTCTCGCGAAATATTTTCAGTTGAAAGAGATAAAACTATCAATAAACGATCACTAAATGATCATCATTCTTCTCGCTTCAATATTATTATAATATAAAGCGATGATATACACCACAACATTCTGTATACAAGCTTGCAATTTTCGGGGGTTCAACTGATCTCAACTACTTGATGCTTAACTGATTTACGGAGACTCATGTCGATACCTAGCGAGCATAGATTCGACGGCCTCGATCGGGAGTCTGCCCAAACTGCCGCCGTGACGAGTTCCGGTTGACAGACCTTGCCATTCACGATCGCGCTCGCGATCACGATCACGGTCGCATTCCACGTCGCTTAATTCACGGCTGTCGCTGAACCCGCTGGGCGGCAATAGTGTCATATCCTCTACCGAACTGTCAAATAGATAAAAGGATACATTTATCAAATCAAATGAGAAGTCTAAAGAATTGTGAGAAACCATCGTCTGAATAAAAAGATTGATAAAAGCTTCGATTTAATCTGATTCATACAGTTCGATTTATTTGATACATTTTAGGATGTTTATTGATTGATAATTTTATTATTAAGAATATCTCTCTGATGTTGTCGAGATTCAATATAAAATAAGATTATATATTTCGTACGTCAATTATGTAAAGATTCAATTGAATTTTCTGGTGATGGTAGAAATTATCGAACAATTATCTTTTAAAAAAAAAGTAGCGCATATTAAAACATCTGATATATTTCATTTTTTTTTATCGCATAAGATACGAGGCTCAATAAAGCGAAAATTTAATGATCATCTTCAGAATGTATTTCGTTCAATAATAGTAGTGACATAAATATATCAGTATTTGTATATCATAAAAAAATTTTTAATTATATTTAATTAATTTTAATTATATTTAATTTATATATATTTATTTTAATTATATTTAATTAATTTTATTTAATTATATTTTAATTATATAGATTCGCATTCTTGTGCCTCTTTCTCACGTCGATGTGAAACCGATATCGAAAAGTCAAAACTGAGTGCTATGTGGAAACAAACAAACCTTGGCTACCTGCGAGTAGACCGGCTCGGTTGTCGGCTTCGTCGTCTCGCGAGTGAGGGCGAGCCTTCGTTGTTAGATTCCGTACTCGATTCCACACCTCGCGAAAATACATCTGTAAAAAATCAGTCGGTGAATATCATGGTTTGTCCACACTTGGTCTGCTCCTCCCCGACATAAGTAATTTTTAAATATAATTTTGAAATAATATAATCTTTAAAAATAATATAATTTTTAAATATAATTTTTAAATAATATAATTTTTAAAAATATTAATCTCTCAATCAAGAATATATGAATATAATTATATGAATATATTCTTGATATAGATAATATATTACCTCTACAAGGCTTTACTGGAACTCTATAACTAGGCCCGGCGCATTCGCCGCAAGGACTTCCGGATGTATCGCTACCGGAGCCTTGTCGACTTGATCGTAGCTTGCTCTCGGCTTCCGCAATGCTCGGAAAGTAACGTTGCTTGTGCCACCTTGGTGTTTTTGACCTGCGCGTGAAAGAACACCAGAAAGAGGAAGAGAAAGGGAGAAAAACAAAAGGCGTAAAAGCAAAATGAGAGTTAGTATCACAAAGAATCGACAAGCTAAGGAGCGACAGGTTTTCTGGAAGAAGCCAATTACCTTTCAAATTCCACGCTAGATCTCTCGTAATCGATAGTATTGATGTCTTCGTTCTCCAAATGACCAAACGTCTTGAACTGCATCGTATAATCGAGCGTTGCCGTTGTTACCGAACGATTCTCTCTTCCAGGAACGCTAAACGTAGCGTACGGACTTATCTCGTACATTTCTGCAAAGTACACCGAGACACTTAGGAAACTGCGTTCAGGAAACGAATAGTTTGTCGCTATACAAACATACCTGATCCATGGTCGGTGGGTTTGTGATTCTCTTGCTTTACGGGTGAACTAGTGTAAACCTGATGATTGCGTCTGTTGTCACGTTCAGCAGTCGATTTGAGTTGCACGGTCGACATACAGCTGGACAAGTGATGATGTTGTTGTTGGTGCTGTTGTTGTTGAACTATTCCCAATCCTGCTTGTTGTTGTTGCTGCTGATTCGGTAATATTTCACCGAGGTAGTTCCCTCTATCAAAGAAGAAATTCGTGAAAACTTGTTGACGTGAAATAAAATTTCGAGAGGTCGAGAAGATTATGTTTTACCTGCCGCTACGTTTGAGCATGACATACCCCAGAATAACCGCGGAAACGACCAAAACGATTGCGCAAATGAGCGGAACAACTACGTATAAAACTTTGTGATTGGGTACAGTTTTTCTGATCTCGTCTTCCATGATCAAATCGTTAGGGGGACCAATACTGACTCCGCTCAACGTAGTCGTGGCGAATTCCATTTGTGTCTGAGTCGAGCCGGCATCGTTGTGCGCTGTTAAACGTAAACTGTACCACGATGCTGTCTTTAGATCACGAATTACGAGATTCTCGGTCGCTCTGCTAGCCACCAAAATCCAAGGTTCCGTGTTGATTCGCCTGCGGTATTCAACGGTGTAATGCTGAATGGGGCATCCTCCGTTAGGCCAAGATAATAAATTCAGTTTCACTGACGTGCCATTTGCCGAGATAATATCTCTTTCCTTAGGTAATAAAGGTGCTGGAATATAGATTAAGAGCTGATTAAAAGTTTCAAATGCTGTTACATTTTTTTAACAGCTAAGTTATATTAATCAAAAGTTCTAACTAGATAGATTTAATATATTAATAATTTCAATATATTTTAATTTTGTAATTTTACAGGGCAAATTAAAAACAGATGTAGATAGTTAATTTCAAGGAAAGTTCTTCGTTAAAATTTAGTTGAATACACAGAATATCAAAATTTTTCTTGGTGCGATAAGAAATTAAATAACTTCAATTCGATTTTTTAAAAATCCATTTCAAGCGAACGACTTGGATTCGATTCCCGACTTTGCGCCGATATTTTTCTTGCCTTCACTTCTTTGGAAAGGTCAGAGAAAATTATGATAAAAATCTTGAATTGGAATTATTTAATTATTTGATATTGATCCAAGAAAAATTTATGTTTTGTGCATAATTAATGAGTTTCAATAAAAAATTAATTTTCTTTTAAATTTTCATACTATCATCCGTATCTAATTCTTATTAGCAAAATTTAAATTTATATTTTTCATTGAAAGCTTTAGTAAAAAAATTTCTTAATTATTAATATATTTTACTCTCGTAAAATATTTTATTCACCGGTGCCTTTTGTTGTTGCGCTGATTAACGGACTTGGATCGCCGGTGTCGACGCGATTATGTGCCGTTAAATGCGCAAGATAGGAAGAACCACATTTTAATCCGGAGAGTACAAATTCCGTTTGCTCGGGAGATAAAGCGATTTCTTCCCATCCACCTTGATCCCTCTTATAACTTAATACATATCCTGATAAAAAGAATCAATAATGTACTATATGTACATATAAATGTAAAATTTTAATTATTTATTACCTTGTATAGTAGCACCGCCATTATCGGGATGATTCCAACGGAATCTGATACTATTGGTTGTCGTATATTGTAATTCCAGTAACGGTGCCTTGGGTGGCATCACCACGATTAACGAATACGTGATGGAATCGTCACCGAATAAATTGCTAGCCGAGCAAGTATAATTTCCCGCGACCGATTGTTCCAGTCCTGAAAAATACGACCGAGAAATTTTTGAAATTATATTTTGCATTTTTTTTTATTTCTCGAAAAACTAACAATAGTTTCCTGCCAACGATGAGAGGGAAGAATTAAAAATCTTGAAGAAATGAAACACTTGCCGCGTATAATAAGATGCCCATCGATCGTAAGTTCGTAATGTCTACCGGTGGTAATTTGACCATTTCTGTACGTCCAGATAGGTCGTGGCGTAGGATTTCCCACCACCAAACACGACAGCGTAACCGTTGATTTTACAGCTCTCCTTAACACTTGCGAGAACGATGCTACTCTAGCGGGAGCTGCGGAAAGAGTCCTATGCTCTTATACGATGGAAAAATTTCTGATGTATCAGAATCGATATATTCGGTAAAATATACGGCATGCGATATAAATTAAACAACTAAGTTTTAAAAATTGGCATCTAGCTTTTCCGAATTATTTTGACAAGCACCTCTAGTATTCGTCGTTTGCGTAACTACGGTAGTTCGTTCTCCTTCTCCAAGGCCCGTTGTTGCTGACACCCAGAATTCATACGATTTTCTGAAAAAATTAACATTCTATTGGTAACAAAAATTAACATTCTATTGGTAACAAAATCACAAGGGGGACGCGTATTAAACTGTAGTGTATGTGCACAGAAAAATCTGGTTGAATTAATTAGAAATCTGATAGATTCAATCAGTATCAGTCTGTTGGAAAATGGACGAGTCAGAATTTCTTTAGGAATTACCAGATGAGTATGATTAATTTCTTCCTGTTAAATTTACCAAATTTTCTTACTAATAATACTAAATTTACAAAAAAAATGATATCACTCTGTCCTAGAAAATACTAACTAAATTCTTGTAGTAGTCTATTAAACGTTCTAGTTATAAAAAAATCGAGTCTTATTATGCTTGGTTCTTGTTGAAACAATCAAATGATTTTTCTCAGTGAGCGCATACCTTTCCACCAGGTCGCGTAATTCCATTGTAAGAGTATCTGTAGGCGATAATGGTGGTTCGTGCATCGTGTGAGCATTGTGATTATTGGAACCGGCTTCTCTGCTGTATACGGTGTATTTTGAGACATTTCCATTAGGTTGCAACGGTGGCAACCAAGAAACCAATATGCTCTCCGCCGTCAACGCCAGCGCTTTAATGCCAGCAGGTGGACCTGGAACTGTAAAAAAAAGACATAATTTTCTTACCTTATTGCACAAGATAGCTAGAATTTCTTTCATTTTACTCTAATATTAAATGAAACATCTCACCATCCTCTTCCGTCATGCAAAAAATTGGTGGACTCAGCGCACCGTCACCCGCACCTGTGTAAGCCAACACCTTGATGGAGTAATTCGTGTACTTGTACAGCGTGTGCAAATAAGTCTCCATACTGGAAGTTCTCTTTACTTCCCCGAGTGTCGATATATCCACTGCGACAGGCAAAAAATATTAAAACGCGAATATCTTATGAAATTAATTTCTTATGCAAGAAATTATTGATATTCTAATGACTCACTGTTATCGGTAGGGACCGGCCTATAATAGACCTTGTATCCTTGGATAATTCCGCCGTGTTGATGAGGCGGCGGCGCGTTCCAGGATACTTTGACACTTTGGGAGGACAATGGAACGCATGTCACTTGAGTCGGTGGCGTTTCTGGCACTGTAAAATTTTAGCAAATGTAATTAATCGAGTTTAAATTATTATTGAATCAAATGTGCGAGCAATATACTAATTTGAACATACTTCGACACATACACACATACATGCACAGCTCTTATGTATACAATTTTATTCCTCTCGTTCTTTTCGAACTCGTACCTCCTTCTTGAGTAGTGCCCACGATAGGAACGCTAGCTGGCCCACTGGCTATGCTATTGAAAGCTCTGATTGAAATGTCGTATTTCGTAAATTTTCTCAGACCTGTGAGCTGTACTTTTGTCGTCGCCCAACCATTCACGGTCAGACTTTTACTTTGATTAACACCCGAGGTCGACGACGAATGCTCCGACCACGTTACTATATATCCCAGTAGATCTCCGTTGCACGATTCTTTCGGAGGGGGCTAGAAAAATGAACGTACTTTGATGATATTCTTTCGCATTCTATCCTTCATTAGCACGATGAAAATTATATTATTATTATTCAAAAGTGATTTAAAAGTATTAAAATCATCATGAATGACACCTTTGAATCGACGACATTACTTACTTGCCAACTGACCATGAGTTCTCCAGGCCCGGCGGGTTGCACTTTGATATTTTGCGGCGATTCTGTAGGTGCTGTTATAGAGAACAATAGTTATACGATACGGTAAGACTTTGGTCATACAATCGCACTGTCATACGAGACGTTTTACCTTCCTCCTGAGTCTTCGCTACGACTGGTTCCGTGGGCCCGCTCGCGTCGATGGAGTTTATGGCGAATATTCTGAAGGTGTAGGTGACAGCCGGATGAAGACCACCGATTAGCGCTACCTCTTGATCATCGCCGGTGGTCTCGAACGGAGATAAATCTAATAGAATTGATACGAGTTACGCGGATAATAAGCGAGTAAAGCCGCGATATCGATCGGAGCAAGTGGGACGAACCGTTTTGGGTTGGATGTATGGAATTACCGCTATTGGAGCTTCCTGGCGTGTACGTGACGTTGTGCGTTTTAACGGGATTCCAATCGTCGGTCATGCCGTGGCTCAGAGAGCGATATTGTATCACGTAATTTCTTATGGGGCTATTTCCGTCGAAAGCTCGCTTCCATAATAGCCTTATCGATCGAGAACCAATCTCTATGACTTCGAGTCCGGCTGGAGGATCCGGTCTCTCTGTAAAAGGAATGTAAGGCTTTTAAAATCTTTTAAAATGGAGTTATTTTATCGATAAAAATGATCGAGCCAAGTTGACAAAATTAAGAGAAATACGCACTTCGATGTGCACTCTCACCTTGGACTGCTAAATAAATCAAATGCTCGCTTCTTCCGTAAGCATTATCAGCGGTGCACCGATAAACCCCGGAATCTTGTCGATCGCTATTCGCGATAGATAATTGAGACTTCAGGCCATTGTCGGTCTTTATTTGGCCGATGCTTAATCTATGATTGCTCATATCCAATCTATCGCTGTTGTGCATCCATTGTACCTCTATAGGATTATCGCCGATCACAGTACAGTCAATCGTCACGGATTCTCCACGACGAATCGTAACATTTTCACTCTGGAACTCGAACCTCGCGGGTTCTGCGAAAATACAATTTCGTATTTTGTTGTAGCTCTTCTTTATTAAATTTTACAATAATTTCGTGATATCATATTTTCAAAACAAAATGTTGTTGCTAACAGTCAAAATAAATTCTTGGATTTTTTATCATTCGAAAAAAGAATACTGCTATTTACGTAACATCCGGTAAAGATTATATCATTTGCTATTTACTGAATAATATTTTTGAAGAATATAAATCCGACAATTCTCTCTCTGTCATGAATATTTTTATTGAATATAAAAAGGTATTTCTCGCGTATTATTCAGATTTAAAAGAATTCATTTTGTATTAAATCTCCGCCGCTTAATATATAATTTAGTTTCACATTTTCTAATGGCAAGTTTACATTCTTACCGTGCACAGAGACGTATATCACTTTACTTAGCCCCGATCCGATACCATTGTTAGCTCGACAGAGATACTGACCCTCATCCTGTGGACTGGCCGAAGCCGTCCACAAAGAGCCATTAGGCAATATCGTGAGTCTACCGTCAGAACCATCGACCAAGGGCTGATAGTCGTTGGACATTTTACCCTTGGCACGGAGCCACGTGATATGAGGGGGCGGAAAACCCTTGGCCTCGCAATGGACATTCAGCGGGTTTCCCAGAAGGGTCGCCACCTCCTGCGGTTCGAATATCCATTGAGGTGGTACTTTTACCAAAAGTTCCGCCGTATGGTTGACCTTGGCGGCGCTATTCGTGGCCACACAGGTGTATTTGCCGCTGTGTCGCGATGATAGTTCCTTGAAGACGAGCACGTTAAAGAACTCGGCGCCTCGCTCTTCGATCTGCAAGGATGCGCGCTCGGCGATAATAGAACAGTAGAAACAGGATTAATGTAAAACGTAACAAGTATTTCGTTATTTTGCTATCCTATGTTAGTTTAGAAAAATACAATTTTAATTAAAAGTGTATAATTTCCGAATCAAAAGAGAGGAACAAAAGATAATCTCTTTCCACATATTGTAAAGCCGCTATGAAATTTTGTTATTTACGGCAATTTTGAAATTTATTCTCGCTAAATTCATATTTGTTTAAAGAGCATTATTATTCACAGAGTGAATAAATAAGTATCTTTCATAGAATTCTGACCGGGAAACATAACGTATTTTCAAGAGGAGAAACATACGTCGAAAACACATACAGAAAAATTATAGAAAATTGTTTGTCATAGACAAAATATGTGCATAGTTTTAAATGAAAACCTGCAGTTTGTTTTACTTTTTCGCTTTCATCGAGAAATAAACGTACAGAATATGAGAGAAATGATCGAGTTCTATTTGCGGACTGAAAGTATATACTTACGCGAAGGGAAGAAGGCAGTGGCTCGCCGTCTTTCAACCAGGAAATGTAGATTGGAAGATCGCCCGAAGTCACGCTGCACGTCACTTGTGCACGACTACCTTCCTGCGAACTCGGGGGGAAGCTGAAGGGAGTCATTACTGGAGGACCTGCAAAATGCGTACAGACGAAAATGTTATATTGCTCCGTTGCGTCATTTCTCTCATAGCTTCACACACATTTTTTCCACATTTATTTTTTCGTAACGTTGAAAATTATCCCAATATTTTCCGCGAAAAATTATCTTGTCTTTAAAAAAAGGAGTTATTTAATATTCTCACTAATTAAATTGTTCAACTGCTCATACTCGCGTTTGCACTTACTATTCACATTTAGCAGGATATCTCTGTTGGCGGTTTCCCCGGAACTCGCTCGAACTATACACGTGTAGGTACCTGCATCGTTTGGATCTACCGTGATGATTGTAAGGTGGCCCTCACTGTCGACTTGCTGCCTGATGTCTAAAGGCAACTCGACATTATTTCGAGTCCACCCGACCGATGTGATCGGATATCCTGAGTAAGGACACGCTATTGTGACGTCAAAACCGGCGATGGCACGAACCGGGCCGATCGATCGGATGTATGGCGGTCCTAAAATGGTTTCTTATTATAGAAATTGCTAAGTGAAAACTCGAGTTGGACTCGTTTTCACAAGTCAATCAATTCTCGCGTTTATTCTTGCTTGTCAAGTTGTCAGTCTCCTTGTTAAGTTTCAAAGTTATATCGTCTGAAACTGTTCTTAATATAATTTATATACATATATGTATAACTTTAAAAAATCTATAAAAGGATCGCTTGATTTAATGCAGCTTGAATGAAATCAATTTCGCCAAAAAAACGCGCAAGCTTTCGATGACATTTTTGTGCTTCGATATTTATTTCGTTTTATTCAATATGCTTATACATTTATGTATTTAATATAAAATTATCCGCGTATATAACATGTGTGTCGTACCGTAAATATTCAATCTAGCTTTGTGCTCGACGGTCGCCAGGGTATTGGACGCTACGCAAGCGTACAGACCGCCGTCCTCGGTTCCCGCGGATGAAATGTTTAAGTGACTGATCACGTCACCGGATTGATCCACATATTGGCCTATCGCGTATCTGCGCGTATTAATTCCCGATTAGAAGATAACACATCGGTACGAGAATATACGGTGCATCTACCTGTGTCCGGTCGCAATCTGACTCAATGGTTCACCGTCGAGTAGCCACGTAAAGGATGGCGTCGGTGAACCGGTAGCGGAACATCGCAGAGAGACCGGCGGTCCGGGTCGTAGCGCTTGCTCGATAAACGTGTACTGCAGTTCCGGAACCGTATCTAGAAAAAGTCATCTTTATCAAAGATACAAGGGAAGAAACGAGACGGACTATTTGCTTTTTCCGAGGAAACAATTGTTTTACGTGGATGAAAAGAATCGTAGACATCAGTACGATAAGTATCCAGGAAACACTGTCATATATCAATGTTACATAAAAGCGATAAAACGGAATATTACAAGTAATATATGTAAATATTACTAGTAAATAATTGATTAGTTATAACTGCCCGTTTATAAACGTAATATATATTGTATCGTTGCGATTGGCTCATGTGGAATATTTAATATACCATATATAAAGTTGGTAATTAAAGAAATAAAATAAAAAATCATATGTATATTTAATTTATAAAATACATAAATTTCATTTATATCGAAATTTCAATTTTTTGCTTCAGATAGATAGTAAACGGACTATTTCCCACGTACACATATAATATTTATTCGTCCAATTTCAAATAGTCTGTTTAATATTCCGAGTATCCTATTCGGGCATTAGAAATTAAACTGATAAAAAAAGAGAGATATTGTGGCTCTTAATATCTTCTTTGTAAGTTTTATATTAATTTCATGGTAAAAAATTGAATACGAATTAATTAAGTCTAGTAGCGACAATCGAAGAAACATTATTTAACGGTATTATATATTGCAATATCATATTTTGTCATGTTACTGGTATAATAGTATTGCAAAATAATACGCACATATGATATATTATAATTTTATACCATGTAGATAATGTGCATTATACATTACTTGTTATTTCCACGTTATATTATTGCAACAAACAGTGTTTATTGGATGTCAATTAGAGTAAAAATTTAAAGGCACATTAAGCATAGAGAGAGCTGAAAATGAGAACAAATGTGAGAGAGCCGGATATAACGGGTATTAAAAATGTTCGCTGACCTCCGAGTTTTAGTTCAGCGGTGGCCTGAGCATTTTCCTTGTCGCTCCTCACCAAACACTGATACATCCCTTTGTCCCTGCGACCGACGGAGCCTATCACGAGCACCAAGGGAGCCAACAATCTGATCCTCGTGTCCTGCGCGGTCAATACTGGCACACCATCGTGTAGCCACTCAACGCTCTCGACCGGATATCCCTCGACCGTGCAGTTCATCGTGGCGGTTTCACCGGAATTAACGACCTGCGAATGACGACGAGCGCATCTATCTCGCAGTCGGATCATCTATTCGCGTCTATTTATAATGAAACACGCTATAAGAGCTAATTTTTAAAGTCTCCCGCAATGTGTCCACTTTTTATCGCCTTCGGTGCTTGTACTCTTGTTCAGTTTCTATTAAATGTCACATTTAACATGTAATTTTTGATATTCACTTTGATGAATTTATCGAGTAATCATTATTCAATCATCGCTTCGCGATATAAATAGCAATTTTATCATTATTGGTGTTATTGTTAATTAATTATCGGGAATGAAACTGTAGCTTACGTAATCAAACAAATTATTTAGCTTAACCTAGTTCTACATTTGCTACAGTGCAATTCGAGTACTATGATTTATAAGTGGATTTAATCTGATGTGTATTATAATGTCCGAGCTTGTCGGGCATAAACGAGAATATTTATTTTTTACAGGAGTTTAATAATATTCAAAGTTTCTAAAAATATTTTTCTGGCTTACGTAGATTATTAAATTTCAAAGGAAATCTCTCTTTTTACGTATAACGAACCGCGTTCTACCGTTGTAGGTCGTTAGCGGTTAGAATCAATTTTATTCCGCCAATGGAAAACTCGATGCATTTAAGAGAAAAATATCTATCCGTAAATCGAATTACGTTGATTCGTACCTGTACGCGCGGTTGAATCCGAGCGTTTAGCTTTGAAGTGACCGACAAGTGCGTCTCCGCTCGCTGCTCGCCAAGGTGATTGCTGGCTCGGCAAACGTATCTTCCGGCATCCTGCGCGTCTACACGACGAATTTGCATTAAATCACCCCAAAGCTGGATACGACCGAACGACTCGACCGGTATCGAGTGGCCTGCGACAAGACATTCGGATGTATCTGTCCTGTAACGATCATGTCTGCGAAGTTACTTCGATAATTGTACTCGGGGCATTAGATTAGATTCACATCGAACATTGAACCCTGGATAGCGTTCTACTTTTCCGATTGAAAAGAAAAGAGCAGATTATTTTTCCCCAGTTTGATTTATCAAGCGTATTTTCTTATCGATTTTGTGATTGATTTGATATCAAATATATTCCTTCCCCTCTCTTTTTCACGGTGCGATATTCATTGCGCGGCGCCTGTCTAAACGTAATATGTATCCGAGCTATCGAGGAATCGATGTTTGAACACGGGTGGTAGTTTGTTCAGCGCTATCGTTAACATAGCTTATTCGGTAAACATTCCCCTAATTAAACCAACCATTAACATCGCGATACCAGGTAAATTGCGGTGGCGGGCTTCCTTGCGCCGAGCACGTGAGGTGAACGTCGGAGCCGCTTTCGGCGGAAATAGCGATCTCGGATCGTTGCATCAATCGCGGCCCTAACGAACCAGTCGGTTCTACAAATAAGATGAAAAGATGATAAAAATCATAATATAAAGAGACATACGAATAAGTGAGAAATCTCCCTCTGGCTGGATTTTTTAACGAATCCACCTTCGAATTTATTTCGCGAAAGAAATGTATCTGGTTACCCGTGACTGTCAAAGTGGCGGGTTCGCTTCTCCTTCGTTCGCTGGTCAAGGCATGCAGGGTTAAACACGAATATGTCGCTCTGCCGTCTTCTGGTCTGGCAGCCCTAATATGAAGATCGCCCTGCGAGGTAACCACGAATCTTCCACCTGTAAACAAAATCGGGTCATATATATAGGTCGAATACAGTGTCTCGGACGCTTTCTCTCGGTTACAGATTCTCTGGCGAAATTAACATCAAGCTTTTCTGTACCGAAATTTTTTAAAATAAATATATATAAGTAAATAAGTTTTCGTAAATTATCTAGAAATTAATTTTTCGCGAATTTATCTAGAAATTAATTTTTATAACAAATAACTGATCAAAATTCTCTCTAATTTTTCATCATTTATAATGCAAGAATTAATGATGTCTCGATGTCGAGATCTGCGAATCTTTTTGAAACTAATGAGCTTCCAGTACGGATAAAGCGAGTAACTTGAAAGGATATGCATCTGCAGAGAGATTAAAACTAGAAAAATTTCAGCGCACAGTCTCGCGAGCATGTTGAATCCCTGAATAAAGATTTCTCTCGTCACTACCGCAGCGAGGAAATGCCTCTCTCGACTTTGCGATTTATTCCACTTCCTTCTATATCGCCGCAGACTGAGGGAAAATACCGTTTGACTTCTCAGAATTCAGAAGCTGGGAAATATCAATAATAAATCCCTGAACGTGCGCGCGCGATTTTGCCCAGCAATATTTTCTTCTCTCGTATTTCAAGTCTGCGAAAGGAGAGAGAGAAAGGCGGAGAGAGTAAAGGGTTATGCAAAATCCTCAGCATCTGTCGATGAAACCCCTTCGGATCACGGTCGCGTATCCATCAGGCGTGAAATTTTCAATTTGGCTCAACCATCGGACAACCATCGAGCAACCTCGGTCTACCAACTTGCTAAAGCCTTCCCTGACTATTTCGGATTGACCTGCCAGAATTTTTCTCTTTTCCATCACGCCTGTAACATTACGAATTTTCACGCGCCGCTATCTCTTGTCGAGAATAATTAATGTCAAAGACAAATATTTCCTTCGCCGAGTCTAGACTTTTTGTTACGTCGTTACTTTCCGATTGCTCGAAACACAAAAGGTTACCAAATATATTTGGCGTACATGTCATCCATTTTAATATCTCATAATTTAATTATCGCATATTTAATTTCTACAGAATATCTTTATTATTTTTATTGATTTGTTTTCGCTATTTGATTATGTTTTAAGAGAGAAAAAAATTCTACAAAAAATAGCTTGGGAAATTTTAATTAAAATACTTATCGAAAAGTCGCGTATAAAGATTTATTTAAATTTTCTCTGGATTCTCTCGTGCTAAATTTCATTAATATCTGCGAACAATATTCCTTCTTAATCGCGGTCCAAATAATTTGAATAATTCTAATGACGATATATCGCTGGAAATGTGCCTGAAGATGTATTCACGGATTCCGAATAGTTCTCCTCCCTATGATGTCTAACAAGAACCATTGTCGTAGATTCGATATCGTTACGTGTATGTGTGTGCACGAGTCAATGATAGAAACGTCATGTTCTTCCCGTACAACCGGAATCTCATGTCCTCGAATCAGAGTGCGATATTCGCGGCATTACGACATAATGGTTATTATGAAGACATTACAATATACAACATGTATACTATTGCAAATCTCTCGACTTTCTCCTTTTTAAGAGAAAATTTCTAAGAAGTTTCTCTTCTTCTTTCATAAATATTTTTCAAGAATTTACAATATAAATTATTATTATATAAATAATTACGATAATTAAATTGATGATATAGAAACACTTAATACTCGAGAATCGCATAAGGTATAGGGCTCAACGCATAAGTATCTTAAATAATAATCCTGTAAAGTCTGTTACATCGAATGAATGTTGCTTCTCGGCTCGAATGGAAGAGAAAAAGGGCAAAAGCCAAGCGACGAGAAATGATCTCCCCGCGGAAGATCTCTCGCGTAATTCGCGAGGGTTTTTACGAGCGCGATTCCGGTTTACGTCACGATTCGACGCATCGTTCCTCTCCTTCGCCGATATCCCTTCGCGCGACCGGTTGACGGACGTCGGCGGAATCAACGTCGTTCGTCTTCGAGACGCGATACGGGCCGTTGGCTGGCGCGACGATAACCGCGGCGAGAACGTCAACGACACGTCGGGGGTTCCCATATAAGCGTGCAACCCCCTCCGACGTGCGGGGATGCTGGCTTTCGTACATACGACGACGCAATGTTAGCCGCCTAGTTACGAAACAAACGTATCAGGCCTCGACATGACGCGATGCCTCCCATGATATTCCAACGGCACACACACCGCACCTATGCACATATACACATATAGTTACGCGAACCCACCCCCCTACCCCTCTCACCCCCGACCGCCGGTTACGTGCAACCGAGCGGCATAAATATGTATGGGACATGAATGCCTGAGCGTGTACAGGACGATCTAAACCACACCGAGTTAGCGCACGTACGTGCGAAGCTCGTGCGTGCACGTGTGGGATGAAGCGTGCATGTGTGCGCCGGATGTTGGTCCGCGAGATCAAGCATTTTACACTCTATGCGCTCTCTACTCGCTTCGCCTAGCGCTCGTAATTGTGTTAATCCTTTTTCCCAAGCTTTCTTCTTGTGTAATTTACAAGGTAATCTGTAAAAAATGCAGCGCATTCTTTTTTCTTTTAAATAACGCGGTCTTTTATGATCGAAGATACGCGAGAAGCTTTCGCGAAATACGTTTCGAATTCGAACCCTATCTGTTTCGTTCACACTGAGGACAAATCTGGTTGTATTAATTAGAATTCTGATAGATTCAACCAGTATGTCTGTTGGAAAATGGACGAACTAGAATTCTTGTAGGAATTACTTTAGATGAATCTGATTAATTTCTTCCTGTTAAATTTAGCAAATTCTCTGGTTAATAATACTAAACTCGCCAGCACCGAGTCGTCTAAATTTTTTTCCATCTAATCTCAAAAGTCTGTTTAATATTCTGAATTCCAACAAGATTATCGGATAAATTCAATCCAGATTATTGAATAAATTATTTTAAGTTCAATTTGTTAGAAATTAAACTGATAAACAGTGATGCAAGAAGAGGATGCAGCTCAAACACACACAATCAGAGAGCTGGCGTCTTCTTTCTGACACTACTGCTCGTAAGAGAAAAAAAATATACTTTGGATTTAACATTAATACTAGTTCTTTATATACATTTCATGGCAAATAATGAGTTAAGTTAAGAGTGACTCGCCTAGCAAAGAAATTAATGTAACAAGAAATTTTATAGATCCAATCAAAAAATACTAACCAAATCCTTATAGTAGAATCTATTAAACGTTCCAGTTATAAAAAATCGAGTCATGATAAGATACTAGAAATTTTTGTTTGATTTAATCAAAATGCTTCAATCATATACGTCTTGTTGATACAATCAAATGATTTCTCTCAGTGTATGTATGCTCGTTTTTGGCGTCTCGATTATGCTCCATCATATATCTTTCTGCTCGATTTAACCGGCGATTCATCGACATGTTATACTCTCGTAAGCTAATTTCAATACATTAAAAAGTCATCGCGCTCGACAAAAAATTGATGGATCGACCGTGCGACCGTGTAAAATTATACACCGTTAGGTTGAATATGAAACAAAGAATTAACGGCGCGTGATACACGCGTATGCGGGTATCCGGGTACGTAACGTTTAAACAGAGGCTGATCTCGAGGAGATTTAGCACACGCTACTTTAAATTAAAATAGCAAACGCGCGAGACATAACTCACCGGTATCTGTGTTTCCAGGTAAGAGAATGGCATCGTCACGGAACCAGGAAGTTACGGTGAGATGTTCCTTAACGTCTTCCCGGGCAGTACAAGATAGCACCGCGTTGCATCCCTCCATGACTGGTTGTCTATTTACCCTGACGTCGTATCCGGATACCGTCAATACTGTAAGTACACGTGAAGAATTACAATTAGATAAAAATTTAATTCTGCAATTAATTCACTGCAAATTTACAATTCGAAAAAACTCGTCAAAACAAGAAGTTTATCCTCGCAAATTCACCTCTATGTCAAATAGTTTTTACACGTATATATTTTATTAAAAAAGGACCTCAAATGTAACGTATATAACATATTTAATTTCCTATTCAATATTTTAAGCGCATATATTATACGGTTGTCAAAGGTAAAAAAAAAATAATCTTTTATACTTATGCACATATGTGCATTAATCTTCCTTTGATCTGTAGATTTCTTTGCCGATTTTCTTTTTATCAAAATTGTCGAGACATTAATCAGTTTTGTTTATTAAAAAATTGAAGATACAAAATTTTTTTTTAAATGAAACTTTAAAGTTGCTAATAAATAACAAAGATTTCTTCTTTATTGATAGAATTTGAATTTAATGTTTAATTACTGAAAAATACGTATATTGAAATTATTTAAAGAGCGCAAAAGAGATTTCTGCGCAAGAAATTTAGGAAAAAAACGTCGATCGTTAAAATTAATCAAAGAATCCATAAGTCAAAGTAAATACATTTAATTCAAGACATTCCGTATAATACAAGAGTTCCGTTATATTCATACATAAAAGAAAGTCGGAGAAAAAGAAGGAAGGGAGACTAAAGCGGGGCAAAGTGACGTAACGTTGAAAGCGGAAGATGGATGATTATTAAGAAGTTACCACAGGCAGAAAGTGGAAAATAAGACATAAGAAAGTAGAAGTACATGCATAATGGACGATCAAACTTATTTCAAGTCCACGAACAATGGCTATGTTGTAATGCGATTCACCCCGCTGATTTCGTTATGACCGGTTAAGTTTATTTACAATCATAAAATTTTAAACGCGTTGTGTACGTATACACGCATATATGCATGTGTAGCCGATATCAGACATTTTTTATTGAATATTTAAATTAAATCCCGCGAAAAGAATTATCATGTAAATAATCTTATAAATAAAATGGAATTATCTCGTCTTATAAATATTAGATTCAACGCAATTATTTTACTTATTCAATACGTTGCGTCTAATTCGCGGTTAAGGTGCACGAGACGTTCGAGGTACGAGACAGGTTTCTCTCCCTAAATCTAATCACTCTCAATCTAAGCACACATTCATACATCAATATGTAACAGCGATGCTTGGGAACGACGCTTAGGTCGCATATCCTATTCTCTGGAGATACATCCGCTTGCACGTATGCACACCCTACTCACACATCTCGCTATAATGAATGTTGGGACAAAGTGTGCGATTAATTCGCTGCATTTGCATCTTTAGTTATATTAACCATGTAATCGCTAAGCGAATATAACAACCCCCAAATCTTATTGCACCTATACCTCGTTCCGCTGTTATCTCATCGATACGTTGATTTTGGATAGGATTTAACCCGAGAGGTCTCGTCTTTTATGATTGAAACACACACGCTGTTCCGTGTATCATTTTTAATATATGCGACTATTGAATATATTTTATGAGATTTTATTAGATTTAAGAAACATTTTTTTAATAATAAATTAATAATAAATTTTTAATAATAAAATTTTTTAAAATTTTTTATAAAATTTTTAATAATACAATTTTTTTTTTAATAATAAATTTATTTAGTTGGATGTACCTGGTGTTATTGTACGATTTTGATGAAGGATATCTTTGGTTCAAATCACGCATTTGCCAATTTCAAGTGTACGTGCTGCGCTGAGAGATTACTGGAAAATTCACGTTTCTCAAATATCGGCGAGGCACCCCAGCGGATTCGTCCGTAAACATTCGTGCCGAGGTAACGCGCGATTTCCACAACTCGTGAGGCAACAGGGGAAGCGGGAGAAGAAGGTGGAAGGTTAAAAAGCTCGACGAAGCAGCCGAGGTATGGGCATCGGGGAGAAGACGCGAAACGAGAGAGGCAAGCCAGAGAGGTCGTGAGTCGAAGGGACTACCCGTTTTGCGCGGTGACGAGACGTGGGTCGCGTTCGTTCCACCCTTTTCGTCCGACGGGGCGTCGGAAATTGGGGGCTCCTCGGCTGGCGTCCCGATGCCAGGCGCCCTTTCCCTCCTCCCTTTCCCACCGTTAGACGCCGGTTCGTGAATTGGGTGGTTGAGGAGAGCGGAAACCAGACGGAGAGGAGAGAGGAGAAAAGGTGGCATGTACGTGACGATAAAATTGAGATGCGCCGGCGAGAGGGCGCGAGAGAAGAAAGAGAGAGAAAGGGAACAGCAGGCAAGGGGGTGAAACGAAATGTGCAAATAAAGCCAATATGCGCGCGGATCTCCAACCAGGCGGGCAACGATATTTCCACGAATTTCTAGAAATCGTTGGAATTAACTTTTCTCCTCTCTTCTCGGGCGAATCGGCGACCCGTTCCCTCTCCGCCCCTTCGCGCTCCACCCCCCCCTGTGCGATCGCTCACGGCCGGATCCCTGATACCGCCGCTTTCCCATCGCCCATTACCCGCTGATGCAGCGTGAAAATGCACGTGCATTTCGTGGCATATCGGTGCATCGCCGCCACGGGCGTGTTTTACCAAACTCGTGCTCGCGGAGAGACGCTAGATTTTTAAAATCGAATCTTCCCGAAATGGATCTCTCCGGGAACCGAGCGCGAATATATTGCCACTTATATCGTGACTAGCCAAAGGGACCCGTCGAAAACGACGCGAATACACACACGTGCGCGGTGAGATAGGGTGAATAGCGAAAAGAATTTAATAACGGCGGAAATTCTTATTTCTCCGAAGAAAGCGAGCGCAACTAGAAATTACATCGCAATTACATTGCACTTAGAGGTCGGATGTAATTCCTTAATTACGCATTCCAATATTTTGCCACACGTCCCCGTCTATCTTGTTATCGTATTTCCGCGAGACATTTTCCCTCGGGTGAATGCGTTTTTCTTGAAAACAAAAACGTCCTTCGCGCGTGATTAAAACTGTCGACCGTTTTGCTGCGGAATTACACATACACAAGCATTTATCGTCCGAGAGGTTTGCGGACCTTTTTCCAGGCAGGACCATTTCTCGGGAACTAGTGGCTGGTTGCTAATGTGGTTACGTTCTTTTTCTAGTCGCGCACCTTCTTCTTTTCCCTCCTCCTCCCCTGCCCCCTCCCTCTCTCGTTCTTTCCTCCTCCTTTTCCGTTGATAAAATGGAGAAAATAAAGAAGAATAAGAGCGGTACGCTGGAGAATCGTCCGTCTGCGCGCGAAAACGGGTGATCTCTCACCGTGTGGTAGGCAATAATTCTTTTCTATAGCATCCCACATAGCCGGCACGTGTATAAAGAAATACGGTTTCGTCGCGAACTCTACGGTCGTATAAATATCTAGTATACAAATTTTTAGAGGGATCAGAGAAAATGCAGAACGTGCAACGTTCGCGAATTGCATCCTAAACGCGACGTTAGCGTTACGTAAATATCCTTCTAGATCCGCATTGTATTTATCGCGATATGTTATATATTTATTTAATTAGTTAAAATCCCTTCGCAAAGTCCAACGTAAGTTTTTAGTTTTCGAGTTAAGACCCGATTTACATTTGTCGCATAAAAATGAGGTAATTATATATTCGCGCTCCCGAGATTAAATTCATAGCGCGGCGAGATACTTTATTTCTCGACGTTAAATACTCTCGGGCGGTCTTTTTTGTCGGCGCGCGGAGAGAAACGCGCAGGATTGTCGGGAGTGCCCGAGATATACGTAAGACGTCGCGGTCCCTTGTCATACACATTTCTCGCGGCGTATCCCCGCCCGTAATGAAATCATTTGAAATGAAATTAAGCGAGCCGCCGAGCTCGATCCGAGGGAACGACGATTATTCTTCCGTTTAAGCCCCGCGCGATACGTGGGCTTTTTTAAATTTTCAAGACGCGACACCTCCTCAGACATTATTCTCCGGTGCCGACAGTATAAAGGTAGAATAATGAATATTCCCTTCGTCGTTGGCCCCCACTCCCAAGAGTGTTCTTCTCGCGGAGAAGAGCACTGGACACCTTTAGTTCGCTACCGAATTCCCGGACTCGAAAAACGCGGTTCTCGCACAAAGGGGGATTTCGACAATGACTTTCTCTCCCCCCTCCCCTCTCTCTCTCTCTTCTTCTTTTCTTCGCGGCATAAGTCCTTTGGCGAGCACGTGGGGACGGCCGATGTCATTTTAGATAAGTGAACCGTTCCTTTTCGGCTCGCTCGCTTCAGAGGGTATACCGCCAGAAGGCTCTCCTTGGTCGATGTTCATGTATAGAGGAAAATAAAGCGGGACACGACGACGGGATGAGGTTCTTGGATAATCTTCAACTTGCACGTAGCATTAATGAACTCGAGTCGAGCCATTATACGCGAATATTAATTAACTCTTAACTATTATTGCACAGATTACACGGCGTATAATTATCATCGTTAGGACTCTTTTGACAAAAGATATACATACATTGGTTAAATTATACGTACGCGCTAAAATGACATCGCAATTTGAGGTGAAAATTTAATTAGATTTGATTTCTTCATTTATCGGAAATTACCCGCTATTCGCTAGCATTAACGAGAATCTCTTCTCCCCCGGCGTTCCGACGATAATCACGCAAGACGGGAGAAGCGTCAAAGGGGGAAAAAAAAAAGTACAACGAAATATATCGACGCTAAAACGCAATGCCACTCCTGGATTCGTCAAATCGCGTTATTCCGAGGATGGCGTCTCGGAAAAACAATCGCGATTTATGTTGACGCCATCGCCATACATCATTTATATTAAACTTGTTTTCTCCGGGAAAGAGAGCGCGAGCACGGAATGGCTTGATTATTTATGCCTATACTTCGGAGCGGACTGCGAACTTTTAACGAAAGCGCCGGAGGAGAGAGGAGATAGAGGAAGTTCCATATCGGCAGACAGTCTATGCGGGGCAAGGACGAGGTGCGGCAAACAGATATTGATTGGACGTTCTTTCATCGTCCAGTGACTTTGCGAGACAGGCAGGGGGTGGGGAGGGGGACAGGGGAAGTTTCGGAAACCACTAGCGGCGAGGCGAATTTTTCTTCCCGTTTTAGTCGAATCATCCTGGAAAAAAAAAAGGATTCTCGATCTAAAGTTTTCCGACGGCTGGCGCGCGTATTTCGTCGCGCTTCACGTGAAGCGGCTTTGAAAGGGGAGACGGTTTCGACGGTCGCCTTTCCGGACCCCGGCGTCAAAGGGTATTTGGATTCTCTCGCAGTTTCTTCGAATTTGTACCGCGCTGAAATGTGCTGTGTGTTTTGTTACGGACGGAGCACAAAGTGCATCGAGGTACTCGATAAAGCACAATTGTTCGGTATACGATCCACGCGAATTTAATTCGCGACAAATTCCCAAATTTAAAATTGTCAAAGTTGAGTCGCGTATGAATTGTCGCGTCAGCCATCTTGTCGGCGATTGCTCGGCCTCTCTGGTCAAGCAGAGAGCTCTCGAGCATGTCTTCCCGTTGACGTTTTTAAGATAGTAACTCCACTTGAATTTTTGACGTCAAACTTCTTGCGGCTTATGTAACGATAGCCAGTCTTGTAAAATCGACGACGCTCTCTCGCCTTTCCTTGCAGGGTTAAAAACGCGTCATGAAAATGCCGTTGAGAAAGCAAGCAACCTAAGTGCAACGTAAGCTTGGAGCTTCGCGAAAACGATCGATGTTTACCCATTTAAAAGGTTACATACACCGGCTAAAAAGCGAACAAGCGTGTCGCTTCTTTCGCTATCAATAGAAACTGCTGTACATTTATCATTTCGCGATTTGATTCACTCGCGATCTATCGTCCGTTTTTATCGTCGCAATGAAATACGAGCAACTTTGCTGCAAAACATAAATGTCATTTAAATAGCATTGCTCAAAGATATCTCACGGTTCGACCTTGTAAATTATTATTTCAATTTTTTCTACATTCGAAATTCGAAAATCCTTCTTTTAACTCCCGGAAACACATTTAATACGGAAAAAGATTTCCAGTCTTTCGCTTTCATCTTGAAAAACGTTTCAAGAGAGATGCACTTTCGATACTGCTAATACCGATAGGAATAATCTTTTGAGATACAATCAATGTTGTTACATCAGATCTCCTTGTATCACTAGTATCAGAGTAGATGAAAACGCGAAAGAAAGATCCTTTTCCGATTGGAATCGTGCAGCATGTAGCCGACGTCGGCAAATTCAGCCGCCAGTAGTAATGATCAGCTTAAAATCAGCTATTTAAATGATGGCTCACGTAGCGTCGACCGGACAAAGTTTTGACCCTCCTTGGGTCTTTCAGCAGCGGCGAAGACCCGCCCACGTACTCGGAGATCGAACTTCCTCCGATACAATTTAACGGCTTTCAACCGTTTCCCCTTCGGTATTTACTTGGATAGCGTGAAGCCTTTCGGTTGAAAATGCGAGGTGTTGGCTCCGCGCTCGCTATAGTACTTCGACATAATAGGATGGGATTCGTTATCTCCAAGTCCGTTATTGCAACCAACGAATCCCTAACGAAGAATGATAGGTTCTTCGATAAATGTCGATAATCCTACGTATTTATGGTGGTATTTACAGCAGCCAATTCGAGTAGCTTGGATCTAAAATCGCTACTTTTTTCACTCAAAGTAAAAAGCTACTTTCGCGGTAAATGATAAAATATTTTGAGAAATCTCTGGACCGGATGTATAAAATAAAAAGTTGCTACGAGTAAATTCGCAAGCTTATCACTTTCTCGAAGGGATAAGACTAGGATAAGATAACTTACCAGCCCGAAGAGTGACCTCGCGAGAGAGTACGGTTCCAACGGAACTGGTCGCCCGGCATCTATAACGAGCATTGTGAACTTCGGCTCTAAAATCCTGAGACAGAAATGGCGGGAAGTACAGCGTCCCGTTTCCCAGAAGTTGTCTGAAAAAAAATGAATATCGTATGAAAATCGCAAATAAGAAAAAAAAAATATCTCAGGTTTATAACTCGAGTCTAAAGCTCCTTGACATGCGCGTTTCAAGAATGCTCTCTGACCTCATTTAAGGGAAAACGACGCCTTGAATTTATGCAAAAGTGATCAAACCCGACGGAAAAACAAGACCAAACATCCAAGGTGCGACTCAAGATGATTCGCGAAGCATGATGTTTACCTGAGTCCCGGAACTGCCGTAACCGATCTTTGATCCGGGCTGGTAATCCACGTGACGTGCGGCGTCGGGCTACCGTGTGCGGAACAGCTTAATTGGGAGCCGGTGGTATTTGAAAAGACCAGGGTGCTCGGCGGTTCCAGGATGAAGACCGGACCTTGCTGACCAAGCGCAAATTTCTCGCTGCACCCTGAAACGTAAAAGCGTATCAGCTCGTTAATGTTGTAATATGTTGCACCCGAGCGTCAGTAACGCAGGCTGCATGGTCAATGAGAAGCGGTCAGACGCAATTAATTTAACTCGGCTAACTTATATTGTCTTTCACTCGCTCAATTTTTAACGAGCCCGCTGATGAGAAATTACGCGCTTCGCTCACAAGTAGCGGTGAAAAATTTCACATTTTTCGATCGATTTAATAAACAACGAATAATTAAAATTGACTAGCGATATAAGAGTACTTTGCGAATATTATTGCTCTCTTAAAATATACGTAGATATATATATTCCGTTGATAAATACAATTGTTTTCCCAACAATTTCCCAAAACAATTTCCTTATATGTATACCGAATCGATTTCCCTCGCTCCCTTGTTCTTTGCATAGACCGGAGGCATCTCAGGTCAAGCGATATAGCTTCGTTCTTGATTTGCTCGCGAATTAAACTCGATGTTGAAACGATTATTCGATTTGTTGGTTGGTAAGCGCAGATAGAATTTTATCTTTTGTCTCGTCGAAGCGGGCGGAACGACCTGATTCGCGGAGCCGGTCTAAACCCCACGACGTATACATTGTTCGCATCCGAGAAACCGGAGAAATCAATTCCGCTAAGCCGAATTCGACCTAGATTTCGAATCGATTCGAGACCATGCTCGTTCCAGGATTAAATGCACGCCGGAGCGAATGGTCGCGTCACTGCCCGATAGCATCTACCAAATATTTCATTCGAAATCCCCGGATTAAGAAGCAACGTGCGCGAGCTTCTATAATCCGTTCCCGAAAACGCTGAAAGCTACATTTACATATAATGCAGGTTTTCCTCCATATATTCAAGTAAAATAAACGCCCGCCGGCGCGGCTCATTGCTTATTCAGGAAACAAAATGTTTCAATCACCGGCACATCATATTCCCGGTCACACGCAATGCACCGCGACTGCATCGCTTGTTAAAAGTGGCAAATATCCATTTCGCGCATATTTATATTCTGCAAAATCTACAAAGAGAGAGCGTGGAGGAGAGGAGCGACGGTCGGACAGCTGAAATATGCAACGCGCACGATTACGGAATGATCGAAGAAGATGTAACGCTGGGACAAAGTGCCGCGAGGGCAGAAGAAGGGTGCGGCGATCAAGCAGATCGATTCTCGTTGCGAGTCGGAAATAGGAACTGAAATAATTCATGGAATGAATTATTTAGAGACCGGCGCGACCTAGCGATGCGGTTTAAAATACGTTTTCGCGTGGTTCAGATACCGATGTCTCTATGTAAGAACGCGAATAAAGAGGCTGATATTTAATTGGTTCGAAACGATGAAACTTGTCCACGGACGGATGAAATTGCAAATTGATATTTCAACTTTGCTACACTGAGAAAAATCGCTTGATTGTATTAACAAGACAAGTATATGATTGAAGACATTTTGATTAAATCAAACAAGAATTTCTAGTTATCATGATATGACTCGATTTTTATAGCTAGAACGTTTAATAGATTTTATTATAAGGTATTTGGTTAGTATTTTCTGGTTGGAATATCTATAAAATTTCTTGTTACATTAATTTCTTTGCTTGTCGCTAGGTGAGCCACTCTTAAATTAACTCGTATTCAATATTTGGCCATGAAATGTATATAAAGAACTAGTATTAACGTTAAATCCAAAGTATATTTTTTTTCTCTTACGAGCAGTAGTGTCAGAAAGAGGACGCCAGCTCTCTGATTGTGTGTGTTTGAGCTGCATCCTCTTCTTGCATCACTGTTTATCAGTTTAATTTCTAACAAACTGAACTTAAAATAATTTATTCAATAATCTGGATTGAATTTATGCAATAATCGTGTTGGAATTTAAAATATTAAACAGACTTTTGAGATTGGATGGAAAAAATTTTAGACGACTCGGTGCTGGCGAGTTTAGTATTAACCAGAAAATTTGATAAATTTAACAGGGGAAGAAATTAATCAGATTCATTTGGTAATTCCTACAAGAATTCTGGTTCGTCCATTTTCCAACAGACATACTGCTTGAATCTACCAGAATTCTAATTAATGCAACCAGATTTTTGTCTCAGTGTATACTATCCAACATGTTGATCTAAAAATAAGAGTGTCCATCGCCGAATTTTCTAAAAACATTTCGATTACTCGCGCGATATAAATTCTCGGTCCGTTTGATTGAGTTTCGATTTGTGCTTTGCCGGGAGAATCTCCGGGTCCAATTATTTACGCGCAATACATATGTAACCCTCGAAAAATTCTTCCCCGTTCGTATGTACGTTCGTTCCCTTTATACCGGGGCCGGCGCGCGCCAGCCTTCGACGCATAAATTCTCGCCCGTTCGCCCGTTGTCAAGAAGAATGTGGACACGTAACCACCTGTGTTTGCTCGCCTTTCAAAGAGTAAAAACCAAACGACATTGCCCCACATTGTCGTTTCCATTTGCGAGTCTACACTCGCGCGCGCACTTATTTACGCGTTCATTCTTTTCGATTAATGCGCGAATTCAAGCGCGTACGCGATTGCATTTAATGTCCTATCCTCCCCCTCGCGGGGGGGGGGGGGGATTATTGACGTCGAATCATCGCTTTTTCGCTGCATACGTGACTCGGAAAATGTATACCCGCGTTTATATCGATGACACGGCAATTTTTCTGCGATATAATTGATACGCTCGTATCTTTATCATTTCTACAGCTTCCCGGCAGGTTTTATTTTCGCTGCGCGATATTTAAAAAAAATGTGTATTTTATGGACGAGGGTCATATTTAACACTTGTACGCGATAAAAATGTTCGACGCCTATGAACGATGCTCTCTCGTCGTCGATGCGAAGGTAGAAGCGAGAGAGTCGGCTGACAAAGCTTTGAAGGGTCGTCGCATTGTTTTTACATCGCATCGTCGCGACTGTGTCTCAAAGTGTGCCAGAGGACGGTAAGTATATGGACGTGGAGGGTGCGATGCTCAACAACCCCCGTCACTTTTTTCCATCCTTCGAATTCCGATATCTCTCGCGTGTCGTTGATACGGGCGCGTCTGCGCGTTTGCATCCGCGAGGAGGACGTTTTCCGCTCATTGGTCGCTGAAACGTGAACCCAATTTGCAATTCGGCCGGGATTTTTCCGCTACGGCTCGCGAAAGGTCAGAGTACGTATAAAGATTGCACGAATGAAAAGTGTACGTGTCCGGACGAAGCGGGATTTATTCGGGGAAACAAGTTACGTTAACTATGCACTCGTTGCCTCAAAACTACCCTTTGTGCATGCATTTTTAAATTATCCGATATATCGTTTTCAGCATACGAGATGAAAATTGAATATTTAATGCATTCAAGATATATAATTTCACTGTTTACTCAGATACATATATATATCATATATGTATATATCATATATATATATCAATTGATTTGACAGCGATGCATAATCCATCGCGATGGAACCTGCCGCGGCTCACGAATCATAAATTCAATGTACATCAATTATGTCAGTGCGGAAACGATAAACGTCCCAGTTTGATTTAGGGCAGATTGCGAAGATAAATGTTGAAAAGGTCACATTTCTTCTGTTCTATTTGCGATTCGCGGAATTCAACGTCGTGGACCGCATTTCTCATATATCAGTATATTTCCTACTAAATGGATACCAATGTTTGAACAGCCTCGCATTATCGGCTTTCGTGATAGATTTACCAGAGAAAATCTCGAGGTAGCGCATCGCGATGCGAGACGAGGACGGAGCGAGTCTTGCCAAAGTCGACGAAGAGAATAGGTAGTCACGTCAACGTGAAAGATCGTAATTGCGAATTCGTTGACCCGCGACTAGAGTGAGCTTTTCCACGGGAGTCGCGACGGGGTGGTTGGAAGTCGATGAGAAGGAGAAAGAACCGCGAGGAACAGACAGCGAGAGAATGCGATGATGGCGCGTAGGTGGGGAAGGTAGCCAGAGAGAGGAGAGATAAAAGGAGAGACGAGGACACCGAACGGGACGGGGGATGTAACTGGGCAGAGGGGAAGAAAAGCCCCTGAAGACAAGGTACGAAGAGTACCGCCTCGCTGGTGGAGGTGGTGGAAGAAGACGTGGGCAAACAGACTTTGCGATCGTTTATTTTTCTGGCAATTATATCTTTCCGTGAAAAGAATCCGAGCTCTTTTCACTCCGTATTTATTTCTGTCGTGAATGCATCGCGATTCATCGAGCCTATCCCTGACGGTCCTCGAATAACGGATACCTGCCGACGAGGGAGGAAAGCTAAAGGCTTTCGCAGATTCGATTTAGTAAACTTATTCTCCGTTCGACGTATTTAACGTAATGCAATTTAATAGGGGTAATTCACAATGGCACGTGAGTTCTTTAAATTATTCAACAAATTTTCTCGAGGAAACTCTGATCTGAAAATCCAATCAAAAGATAAAATAATAAGGTTAAGAATGTTGGAAAGATTCATAAGCTTTACATTTTCATAAAAAGATGTTCACACGCACACACACACGCACATATAATCTTATTTGTGAAAAAGGCACACAGATATTTATCTTGCGGAAAATTACAGCTCGGATATATCGCGCCATTTCATTAACAGCGATGGAGCGTCGTGCAAGAGGCAACTTGCCGACGCGATCGATACAACGATGAAGATTAATGATTGTCTGGCCAAGTAATTACCGCGTTTTATTACCTTCGATGTGTAACTTTGCGAAAACGGCGTCTCGTATCGTACCGGCAACGATCGGATTCTCTTCGTATGATCAAGGATCGAGTATTATTTAGCAGCATTGATACGCAATCTAAGACAATCCCGAGCGTCCGCAGCGCGATCCATATATTCTCCGAGGATATAGTACAGCGGATAATTCTCGTTTAATACACCTGCATGCATAATTGCCACTCTCTACGGAAATACCTAAACTTTCAAAGCGGTACACATGCAGTTAGGCAGAATTTATTTAATATACTAATCCAATAAAACTTTCATTTTATTGTA